AAAATTGTAAAAAAAATGTCAATATGTATATCTATTTAATTCAGAATTAATTTTTGGAAACCTTCATTTTTTAAAATTCATCCAAAAGTCCAAAAGTCCAAGGTCAAAGTGAAAAAGTTAAAAGGCGAAAAAGTAAAAAAAGTCCAAATAATAGTCAAAAAAGGCGATTAAACTTTTTTTGTGAGTTTTGGCTTTGTTTTGGCTTAGTACATCATCCTCGAATGAGGAACCTATTTATCCCTAAAAATACGGCGTGGAAGGGTGGGTTGGGAGTGGGGGTTTAGCTCAAGTTCTTTAATTTCTGATATATTTTTTTGAAACTTCTTGACTTTTAAGAAAAAGAAATAGAAACTCTTTTTATTCAAAAAAATATATATATTTAAACATTTTTCTGACTTGCTTTTTGTTATGTTCTTTTAAACCTCCCTGGCACCTTGAATCACGTCAAACTTAAGTAAGTTACACCGTGCAATGTGAACTGTGCACCGTGCACTGCGCGCTGTGCACGAAAGATTGAAATCTTAGATGTTTCTAAGTAAACTCCAATCCTTTTTAGTAACCTCCTTTCCTTTCTACTACAATTTATTTTTAAGAAAACTGCATTACTTTTGAGTAAACTGCAATTCTTTTAATAGACTGCAATCATTTTTCAGTAAAATTCAATCTTTTAAACTATTTTAGTAAATTTCAATCCTTCCCTTTAAGTAACCTCATATCTTTTATCAACAAACTATAATTTTTTTTAAGAAAACTGCAATCCTTTTTGTAAACTGCAATCCTTTTTCGTAAACTGCAATCCTTTTTCGTAAACTGCCATCCTTTTTCGTAAACTGCAATCTTTTTTCGTAAACTAAAATCTTTTAGTAAACTGCAATCTTTTTTAGAAAAATGTAATCTTTTTCGTAAACTGCAATCTTTTTTTTAAAACTTCAATCTTTTTCGTAAACTTCAATCTTTTAAGTAAACTGCAATCTTTTAAGTAAACTGCAATCTTTTTGGTAAACTGCAATCTTTTTAGTAAACTGCAATACTTTTTTAGTAAACTGCAATCTTTTCAGTAAGCTTCAATCTTTTTAGAAAACTGCAATCTTTAAGTAAACTTCAATCTTTTTCGTAAAATTCAATCTTTTTCGTAAACTTCAATCTCTTTCGTAAACTTCAATCTTTTTCGTAAACTTCAATCTTTTTCGTAAACTGCAATCTTTTAAGTAAACTGTAATCTTTTAAGTAAACTGCAATCTTTTTAGTAAACTGCAATTCTTTTTTAGTAAACTGCAATCTTTTTAGTAAACTGCAATTCTTTTTTAGTAAACTGCAATCTTTTTAGTAAACTGCAATTCTTTTTTAGTAAACTGCAACCTTTTTAGACAACTGTAATCGTTTTCACAAACTGCAATCTTTTTAGTAAACTGCCATCTTTTTGTAAACTGCAATCTATTTAGACAACTGCAATCTTTTTCAAAAACTCAATCTTTTTAGTAAGCTTCAATCTTTTTAGTAAACAGCCATAGCCATCTTTTTGTAAACTGCAATCTTTTTAGACAACTGCAATCTTTTTCGTGAAGTGCAATCTTTTTAGACAACTGCAATCTTTTTAGTAAGCTTCAACCCCCCCCCCCCATCATGGATGTCTCCATTTATGATGTTGACTCTTTAAATCACAGAATATAAATAGAGTGTCCAGTTAAAAATAACCTTTACTTGTGCACTCGTCACAGCTCATGGGGTGGGTATCATACAGTACTTGCTTCATCTACAAAGACGATTTTACGGCTTGAACCTAATTAAAATAGACAGCTTCTCTACTTTAGCTTGGTTCGAGACTTGAAATGTCGACTTCCAAGATGAAGCAAGATCTATTATACAGTGAAACCCTTAATAACGAATACATCGGAAGAATTTATCGAATGTCGTCTTGACAATTTTTCAATGAGTTTTATACTATATTACGTAAATTTCAGTATTTGCGAAAATAAATGAATAGCCATGAATATGCGGGAACAGTTTTAAAGAGTTCCATATAATCATTTAATTAAAAAACTAAATGTCTGCAACATTCCATTATCAGAAAGCGAAGAATACGACATTTGATGAATTTTTTCGATGTATTCGTTATTAAGGGTTTCACTGTATGTAGATATAAACTTTTAGTTAAAATCAACCTTTAAAAAAGTTTATACACTGCAGAAAATAAAATGTTGTTCTAATGGATACATTTGTACATTACTTGTAAGACTATTTTGTATATACAGGGTTACCAACATAGGATGAGACTGTAAAGACGACCTAAAACTCCTAAAAATGACAAACCCGAGGTTTAATTGAGTCTTATACCTTGAATATAGTCTTTTTATGGCTTATTTCATGATTTGGCAAAGAAAGAAAGAAGTTTGCAGTTTCCTTGTATTTTTGGAAACAGGCAGCCTAAATTCTGTAAAGTCGTCTCTGAAGTCTCATCCTTGTGTTGGTAACCTTGTATATATTGTCATTTAAAAAATGTTGGCTCATACTTGCAGACCTCAATTTCAATTCAATTTGGGGACATAAAACTATTTCAATCCCGCCAAGACATTTCTGAAGTGGACATTTGTCCTAATATAAACATTGGTAAAAAGGGGCAATTCAGAAAGTAGGTAGAGCAGATTTTCAATGGGATTATTGATATATTTTCTAAATCGTCGATTTATGACGAAACATTCAAAGCGTAGTTCTCCTCCGTCCTCAGAACAAAACTCGGTATAGACTCAGTCAAAACAACGACTATCTCTTCATATAAATCTCGTTAAGAAGTGAATCAAGCGTAAATTAGCTGAAGGTCGTGATAGAAAACGTAGAAATTTTCCTGATACACTCTCATTTTAAGATGGTTTAAAATGGCGGGGGTTAACAATAATAGTAGGGAAGGATCCCGTAATCGCTCATTTTCCGAATCGGATTCGGATAGAATAAGTGATTTAACCTTTCGCCCTGCAATTATAGATAACCTAAACCCGGATATTGGCAATGACGAAGATTTAGCTGTCTTTCAGTCCCAACCTAATTTATCATCGTTGATTGATGAATATATTGAATCACCCTTGTGGTCGGGTAGGGGTACTCGATTACAGCGAAGACAGGCACCCATAACAGAACAAGGGGAGTTGTTGCTCGCCGCTCATGGCGGTCAATATTTTTATCTATCGCAATTTGTTTATTTTATCTAATTCATTTCCTTATTTTGCTTAAGCAACATGTTAACATGGTAAGTTTTGCATTTGAACATTACTTTATTTTCTATTCTCTGTTTTTTTTCTTTTAATCCTTACTTTTATAAACTTCTCAACGTTTTCTTTTATCCTTATCCATCTTTTCCATCATCTTGTTGCCTCTTATTCTATTTTATAGAAAACGACACTCACAAACCTTTCTCAGATTTTCATTTCAACCTTTTTTTTCGCTCACTCTTATTACTCTTTTATCCTTTACATCCTTAATTTACTGTGCTTTTTAGAAGACGGCATTTGTATAAACCTCTCTTAGGTTTCTATCTTTAATCTTTTCCTACCCCCTTATTCTATTTTTTTTATAGAAGACGACCTTTACAAACCTCCTTTTAGAAGACGACATTTATATACTCTCTACGTTTTCTGTCATTTAACGTTTCCTTACACCTTATTCTATTTTTGTAGAAGACGACATTGACACACCTCTTATGGTTTTCTATCTTTCATCCTTTCCTTCCACCTTATTATATTTTCATAGAAGACGACCTTTACAAACCTCTCGACTTGTGTTTTTTTTCCCTCTTCAATATTTATTTCTATTTTCCTTTCACTTTAAATATATTTGTGTAGACGACGAAATTGATACACCTTTTATGGTTTTCTTTCAAACCTCTCTTGTAGTTCTTTTCACCTTTTATTTCTATTTTGCTTTCAACTAATAAGACGACATTTACAAACCTCTCTTGTGGTTCTTTCCTTTAACCATTTTTTTTATATTTTCCTTTCACCTTTTAGAAGACGACATTTACAAACTCTCTTGGTTTGGTTGATGGTTTTCTATCATATATTCATTCCTTTCACATCCTTTTTGTTTTGTAAAAGACGACATTCAAAAATCTCTCTCGGTTTTCTATACTTTCCTTCCATCTTAATCAATCTTGTAAAAACCTCTTGATGATTTTCTATCATTTATTCATTCCTTTCACGTTATCTTGTTTTGTAAAAGACGACATTTACAAACCTCTCTATGGTACAGTATACAAGAGTGAGCTAGTCCGTCTTCACTGTTCATTTTGCGGAGACATTATAGCCACATCTTTACAGCCATTCACCGTTTTCATTAAAAAAAAACTCTAGCAGACATTATTTGGCTATTATTATTTGGCTTATGAAATTAGGTATAGGGTGTCCCAAAAAACATGGGAATTCAGTGACGAATTGGATATCGTCTTTGTTATGAATTAGCATTGTAATACCTAATTTCAAAAGCTATAACATTATTACATCTGCTAGAGTTTTTTATGAAAAGGGTAAAAGACTGAAAAGATGCGTCTATAATGTCTCCACAGTGAAGACCGACAAGTTTACTCTGTTTGTATACTGTAATTTTCTTGTTTTACTAAGTACAACCGTATGCAGTCAAAACATAAACAAATTATTGCTAAAATACTGTTGACTTTAAAAGTCACTATAATAAAACAAAGATATCTGAAATGGATATTTCTAACATTTATTTTAAAAAACCGAAAGTTTTGAAATATTTGCATAAGACTGAGTAAAATTGGTTGGTTAAAAATGAACAAAGAAAACTATGGACAAACATCAGTTGGAACATATTTGTAGAGCTTCATGATGGTGGTGCAGATCATCAGGAACTGGAACAACAGGTTTCCGCTCACCCTAAACTTTGGATCAGGAGGGGGAGAGATCGCGGTTTTATCAGTTTCGAATATGAGGGAATGTGTCTCAATGTTCGCCTGATAATTTTGGAACTCTTGGAACAATATTGTTTTAGTCTTTAGTAGCAAGTAGACCGCAATCTGTGAAACAAAGTGTTCCTATTACTCAGTTAGTACAGTGTCTAGTGACTAGTGTATACGCATACATTAAACATGGCAAGTTATTCATGTTATATTCATGATTCATCGTGAATTCTTCTTAGTTTTAAATCATTTAACAGTGAATAAGGTTAAAATCCTCGAGATTATTTATCCCGGCGTTGTTTCTACGCGGCGCAACAGATGTGTATTACGGCTCTAGTGGGAGGAGGACTGTCAATGTGCTGAAAATTGACGTCTCTTCTATATCAATCTATCCTGAAAAGAGATGTCCAATGAAAAAGTGCAAGTTGCTGTTAGGAAAGAAATGTTATGAAATATTTGATGTGACAACTTTTAAAATTTTGAATGTTTTCCCGCAATATTTGAAATGTAAATATTGCTAAAATTGAATCATAATTTGCATTTTAAACTCGAATTAATAAAGAAATTAAAATTTTTGCTTATTTTTTAGGTGTGAAAAATAAATAAAATATAGTTTTTTTAACATTTCAAATTATCGTCAGGGTTCGACCCTTTAATCGTCGAGAGCTTGAGCTTCGAACACCCAGTATCATCGATATTCAAGCATCGTCGATCATCATTCGATCATCGTCCGACGATTCAGATAAAAAATCCACGAAAAGTTTCTCCTTCGATCATTGTTTCGACTCGAAGGAGGAGAATGGAGTTGGGCAAGGCGAAGTCTTTGAGGCCCTTGGTCTGGGAATTCTGGATAATGCTTTTAAAGGAATGAAACACGAATTTAACTCCAGTGTTCAGGGGCGTACATATGATTTTGTCCGGGGGGGGGAGGGGGGCTTCATTTTTTTCTCTCTAGGGGGGTCGGAAACCCCAATGAAACCAAAGATATCCATGATCCAGGAGGAGGGGGGGGGGTAAGCCCCCATTGCCATGGGTAGGCGGATTTTATGTAAACCCATAAATGGTCAAATTTTGGTTAGAAACATGGCGCTCAGCTTCTTCTTAACATAAGTTCAATATCTAACACATCTGGGGTAACATTTTATTAATATGGAAAAGAAGTTACACATCAAAACTAAGTTGAACCACTTTTTTAAGTTCAGGAGAATTGGTTCAAATCAACTTGACTGAAACTCCTGAATGATCAATAATTAAGAAAGGGTTAGAATTAAATTCAATTTAAGGAGCTCGGATATCGATTAATCAAAAAGAACGAAAGGTTGACATATTGCAGCATGCATATTTTTGTACTTAAAATTTAATTTTAATTTAAAGCTCCATTTTTTGTTTAAAGGGACTATAAGCGTAATTTCAAGTGACCCGATCCTTGCAAGATGACAATGCCCGATTTACAACAGCTATGTCTGGTCAAGGATGACATACCCTTTAGCTATCCGTATTTAGTTTTTTTAAACCTGTTTATTTTCATTAAGTTTTTTTCTACAAAAGGGAATTTCGCATTTCTTGCTTATAAGAAACAATGGAGAAATGATAACTTGAAATTATGCTTACAGACAGTCTCTCTCAATAATGTACTAATTATAGAAATCAATAGATTTGCATAATGTGAATTGAAAGTAGATTTGTAGAACATATAAAGGCCTTGTTCTAAATATTTGCTCTAAATATCACCTTTTCTGCATTACTTCAGTTTATGCAATTTTTTAAAATAGAATTAAAATTTTCTTTACATTTTTGGCGTAAAATCACAATCTTTGTATTCCTTTTTAAGCTTCATTCATGTTAAAGAAAAGTACCAAAATACAAAAAAAGAAACTAATAATAATAATTATTTAAAATTCGGTGATGGTGATGGACCAAATCTCAGTAGAGTAAAAAAAGTAGATGTTAGTTCCACATTTATTGAAAATATATTTCGGTCTGGGTTGACCCTCGTCAGTTCTAACGATATGATAATCATCAAAATCGACAAAAAAAAATAAAAAAAATTGTTAAAATTCGCAAGGAAATAAACAAACTAAAAAGATTATTTAAAAAAAATTGAGGTTGTCAAATGGACATAAGGGAAACGAACTCAGATTTTGATATGGAAAAAAAAATAATTTTAAAAAAATGTTTTAAGACAATTTATTATTCCTTGAGATTGTTCTGTCTCAAAGGTTAAAAACAAACTGATTAGATGTATGTGTATAAATTAATAATAATTAACGAACTTTTACGTAAATCGGGGGATAATAATTATATTTGGTTAAAATAAAAAATGTTGTTTTTGTAAATTCTATTAAAGACTAAAAACAAAGAAAATTATAATAAATTAAATAATTAATCAAATAAATATATAATTATGGTGAAAATGTTCCTCTTCTTTCATCAAGCAAATTCTTTACGGTTTCTTTAAACATAATTTTTAAAATCCTTAATGAAAACCCCTGAAACAGTTTTATTATTAACTAATTTGTAGATTTTTTTTGAACTTATTCTCATTCTTAAATTCCTTGATCTTCTCAGTCGCTGAAATAACGTTCACAATTGCACTTTATAATTTTATTTAAAGTTTTATTCTCGGTAATGCACTTTATGAGATAAATAATGCATGAGTGCAATGCATAATTGCAGTCAGCCAATATTTACCATATGTTTTTCTTATTAATAATAGGTTAAACTTTAAACATATTTCAAAAGTTAAAAATTTCAATACATTTTTGGAGGGGTTAGGTTATTTTTCTATTTTTCTAAAACTTGTATTCCATTTTGTTTAAATTGAATTACTATGTTCAGAAAGTGTGAAAAATTGCGTAAAATAATTTTTGTTATTTAAGATTTTACAAACTTTAACTTGACACCTATATGCAATGTTGATATGGTATCACAATAGAAACTTCACATTTCATGGACATGAATATTATTTATAAGTTGAGAATGGGGGTTAATGAAAATATTAAAAATGATTTTAATATAATTTAAAGTTTTCTTTAAAAAACAATTGCGTAAGCGTAATGCGACGCTTCCGTAATTACGTACGTACGCTAAATGTCAGTATGACTGCTTATTTATTATAAACAAAATACGTAAGTATTTCTTCATGAGATATCTGCTAAAATTACAGATTTTCTCGTGAGAGAAATCATGTATTTTTACTTAATTCTTTTCATTTTTTCTTAATTTTTCATAGTAGTTAAAAGTTAAAACAAAGCAATAATATAGCTTTAAAACATTGCTTGCTCTGTGTGTATAAAATAATAATAAATTCTAATTCTATATTTTAAAAATGAGATTATGATTAATTTTGTTATTTATTCTCTGTAAGTTTTCAGTTTATTTATAGCAAACCGTCATTAATCTATTTTAAGTCAAATAATTATTCATAATCAAAAATTAAATACGGAATTCATTTTAGTCGAATTTTTGTAGAAATCTAGTTTTTAGATTTTATTACCTCAGAAAGAATTATCGTAAAAAATCATAATGTTATTGCTTCTGACTTTTGGAATTAAAAATCTTAATATTTTATTTTAAAATTTTATAAATAAATTCTGGCATTTAGTAACCACCTGTGAACAAACTAATATTTAACACAATTTCAGGGATAAATAGTTTCAAAAATCAGGACACCTCCCCTGTCAAATAAATTTTATGATCAAAGTTTAATTATAGAATATATATATTTATTTTAATCTATTAATTCTGCAAGTTCAAATAATTTGAGTTTGAAATATCCAAGATCTAAACCATCAGGTTTAGATCAGGTTTAGATATTCTAATCAGATATAGGGATTAGAATATTTGAGTTTGACAAAAATACTAAAACATGGAGGATTTAAAACAATTTTTAAATATTCATCTGTAGTCCACGATTTTTTTCTTAATGTTTTTGAAAATCAATTTATTTAGTGAAATGGGTCTGTCTAGTATACACTGCACACGTACATGTATTTCATGGCCATGAACTGCTCTAATCATAACTTGTGTCCATAACAGTCATTTCTTCTTCCACAGTTTGATGGGTCTCACTGTATTTCTAACATGCATATTGTATATTGTTTTGTTTCTTCTATAATTTATTTAGAAATCGATTCCTCGCATTTTTTTAGCTATTTTTCTAAGACAAGGATTTGAAACAAAAACACGCGAAAAATATTTCAAGGCTATCTTAACATATTTCAGTGAGGGGAGATATTTAGCCCCCTCCCTATCCCCTCCCTACCCCCTCCCTACCCCTCCCCCGGTCCTCAAAAGGAATAGGATTAACAGAGAATTAATGTAAAAAAAAAGATAACTTTCATGCTTTTCACTTTGTTTGTTGTAAGCCTAAGTGAAAGTAAACTTAATCTTATTTACATACAGTGCAGAGCTATTGTATACCCGACAAAACATGACAGTAGCGAGAAGGGTTAAAAGTTGTCTTTAATTTTGGAATTTATTTGAGACATTCAGTCGTCAACCTTCTTTCACGTGTATGATTCTTGAAACAATGACCACAAAATTCTCCTAATTCCTAGTCCTGGGATTTCCAGAATGTGGTCCGCATTTAGCCTTTTTTTATGTCAATATTACCTGAGATATCGAGAATTTCGTTCCGATTCCAATTTGATTAAATAAAAAACCAACATTGTGAGAATCTGAACAAAATTCTTCTTATATCCGGTAATATTGAAAGCACAAAAAAGGCAGACCACATTTCGGAAATGCCAAGTTTAATGGTATTTTGCGACTGTTAACTCTATAATTGGGGGGAATGGGGGCAAGGCCCCCCTAGCCTGATTAAGGGGAGGGCAAGCCTCCCCCTTAAGAAGGCTAGAAGTCCTTAACAGGGTTCCATATAATTCCAAACATAGCTAATTTTCTCAAAAATAAAAAAGATGCCCCTACAGTAATTTATTTTTAAACTCAAATTCCACTATAAAATTTTTCAATTTAAGATTCTTTTTAAAATGCCTCCAAATTTGGATTTTAAAATGACACTCACATTTTTCAAATTGCCCCACTACACTTAAATTTGCCTTCCTTTTTTTAACATTTGTAACTTGAAGTTTGTAACCCATAGTTTTTTATAATATTTTTAATTTTTTTATTCCCAAATATTTTATAAATACACACAACTTTAAAATTTAAAAAACTGGGACATTTTTTTTTAAATTTAAAAGTTTTTCTCCCTACAAAAAATAACCCTTTATAGTTTAAAGAAGTGCCCCTTCATATTTTTAAAAAATGCCCTTAAATAAAAAAGTTTAAGATTTCCAATGCAAAATATTGACCAAACTGTGTATTAAATTCACCCCAAAAGAACAAAGATTTAAGATTTCCCAAACTAAAAAAATTGCTCCAAAAATAAAATTTGCCCCTGAAATATAGTTAAGAATTTTCCCCGCACAAATTTGCCTCAAACTGAAAAGAATCCTCCCCAAATATTAAAATTTCCCCCTAAAAAATATTTTTTTTTTCATGGTTGAGTACAATACACATTTTTCTTGCCCCCTCCTAGAAATGTTAAGGGGGGGGGGGAACTTATTTTTTTCCGCGCTACGCGCGTCGAATTTGCCCTTTGACCCCCCCCCCTTGCTAAATGTCTAGTTGCGCTCCTGTACACTATATTTAAGTTTGTATGTTAGTGTTTGTGTATGGGGGAGGGGGGGGGGCGGGAAACACTTCAATTATTTGTAAAAATAGTTTCGTGCTTTTTTATTTTAAGAATCCACCAATAAAAGCATAAAATCTGCCAAACTTGTTTTTGTTCTATAATAAGGTTTCAATATCTAAATGATTTTTTAAAGTCTATTTTCAATGAGCATTATACCAACTCGTGAATCGTACTGTAGGGTACAACGCCAGTGTATTTGCGTACGGACAAACCGGTTCTGGCAAATCGTACACAATGATGGGCACTCAGGTAATCTCTTACTTTATGTACATTGTACAGTAATGTTTGTAAACAATTTTGGTATGTACAATGTATGTTTTCGTTTTAAATCAGATTATTTTTTAACTATTATTTTTCTCCGAAAAGTAAAATAACAATAATATTTCATTTTTTACTGACGAGACCATATTCATTTAAGTGTAAGTGGAATTTCAAGCAATGTTCGATTTGCAATGGTGGTATCCTTAAACACTTTGACTGAACAAGTATTCGAATTATTTATTTTGAAAAACTATTACTTTCAATTGTTGTTTATCTGCAAAAATGACTCGCGCATTTCTTCTGCAAGAAAAACAATGTAGAAAAATAAACAGAATCAAGCACTTTTTCAGTTTAATGGAGGGTCACTTGAAATTACGCTTACAGTCCCTTTAAAATATTTAAATCAAAACTTAAAAAGTTATCTGTTCTCCAAATAAAAATGTATAATTCCTGATTTTCTAAAATGTCTTTTGTTCATATTCAGTGAATTGTATTTTTGCCCTCATAAAAAATTCTACAATTGTGATTCAATATGTTTTTTTTCCTTTAATATGGGATAAAAGTACAATAATTGCTAAACTATTCTTATCGTTTTTTCATTACGTTACTTTTTTCTCTCTCAAGAGAGTGTTATCAAAAATGAAAGGGATATCTATAAATTTTTAACCATAAATTTATTGATTTTAATAGATTTTATCAAATTTTTTAAAGTCCAGGTTTATTTTGCTCTTTAAATTTAAAGAGATAAAGATAATTGTTTGACATTAAAGTTATGTTTTTTTATAAAATAGAAATAAAGTTAGTTACAATTTTACAGAAAATTTTTATAAATGTTTATTTTTTTTTTAATTTGTCGAAGATTAAAACTGAAAAAGTATAATTTTTACAGTGTCTACTTATGTATTTATGTCTTATAAACAAGTTATAAATAAATTAAAACAATACTCCCCACTGTCGATAATGTTTAATAAATTATGTATTTTTACATTTGAAAAGTTGCTTTATTTCTGTTCTAATCCAATATAATTAATAATTATTATTAAAATTATTTATAGTCTGTCCTAGTCTGCACTAGCCTGTCCTAGTCTGCACTAGCCTGTCCTAGTCTGCACTAGCCTGTCCTAGTCTGCACTAGCCTGTACTAGCCTGTCAAAGTCTGTCCTAGTCTTTCCTAGTCTTTCCTAGTCTTTTCTAGTCTTTCCTAGTCCTTCCTAGTCCTTCCTAGTCTTTCCTAGTCTTTCCTAGTATTTCCTAGTCTTTCCTAGTCCGTCCTATGTACCAACCTGTCCTAGTCTAGCCTAGTCTGTCCCGGCCTATATCAGCCTGTCCTAGCTTGTCTTAGTCTGTCCTAGTCTCATGTCGCCCCTTTTCTGGCCTGTCTTAGTCAACCTGTCCTAGTCTGTCCTAGTCCGTCCTAGTCTGTCCTAGTCTGTCCTAGTCAGTCCTAATCTGTCATATTATGTCCTATAGTTTGTCCTAGTCTGTCCTAGTCTGTCCTAGTCTGTCCTAGTCTGTCCTGATATGTCCTGCTCTGTCCTAGTCTGCCCTATTCAGTCCTAGTCTGTCCTAGTTTGTCTAATGAAAAGAAAAAAGAAAAGTTTAGCGGAACTACATAGACTTAGTTGAATCAGAATCTTCTAATGACCTGCACTGGTTGCATCTTCCCATAGTAATTGGGAGGGGTGCCGGAGCTCTTGGGGGAGTTAGCCCCGATGGCGGTCTGGGCTCACCAAAATGGGGGGGGGGGGTTCAGATCTTATCTTATCTTATATTATCTTATTATTCATCTATTTTATGATATGTGGTTCAACTGGGTCTATGTCTAGGTCTACTTTTCGTTATAATTAAAAACATGGACAAATTGTCTACTCTACAGAAGCTGTTCAAATGAAGCTAGTCTTTCCCAGAATTTTTGCTGATGTCATAAAAATGTTTTTATTTAATTTTTTTTAGGAGGACTCTGGTCTGATTCCACGCCTCTGCTCTGAGTTGTTTTCCCGAATTGACCATCAGAAAGATTCTAGCGAAGTTACGGTAGGCGCGTTTCCCGCGTTTTCTTTGAATAATATTTAATTTTATAAACCATGCAATGTCTAACCTTGACATCTGTGTATACCATATATAATCATTTTTTTGTCTGCACATTTACAAACCCTAACTTCAATAAAAAGGGAGTGGGGTGGGTTGGCGGGGGGAGGGAGGTGTAATATAACAAATTCAAGTTTTTGAATGAAAAAAGGGAAGACTATACAGTATTTCACAGTTTTCTGGTTATGACTGAGAAAATTTTTGAAAATATCTTTTAATTTAAACATTAAATATTAAACCAAAATTGTCTGTCCAATTTGTTGTGTTTTCTAATCACAGAAACAATTCTAAATAATCCAAACCATTTTTACTTTTGTTTAAAAAATCTGTTAAAAAATATATTTCTTTTATGATTTGCAGAATTATCAGTATTAAAACATTAAAGTTTTCAATTTCAAATATTTAAGGAAATTCGACAATTTTTGATAATTTGTTTATTTATTTACAATTTCAGGCTGAAGTGAGTTACATGGAGATCTATAATGAAAAGGTTTATGATCTCTTAGACCCTGCTTCAGTCTCAGGTAAAATTTTTCCAATATTTTTTCAAAGATAAAAAACACATTTTTTTTCGAAATATCCAAAGAATTTCAGAAGTATTTAAAGTGTTCTGTTTATAATTACAAATAGTTTTTGAGATTATAAAAAAATGTTTAACGTCATTTTGAACTAAATATTAATAATTTTGAATTGCTTATAAGTTATATTAGTATGACAAAAGAAGTGTTTGAGACAAAGTGTTAAAAAAATAACAAAAACGCGTTATAACTTTTAAGTGGTAAACTGCACATTAGTTGTTTAATTTTTATATATATTTTGTCCTCAAATAGCTATCAAAGATTAAGAATGACCTGTAATCGTCTCTAAACTGTCATGTTCAGTGGGAAAACTTGTACCTAGCTGTGTTTAAAAAAGAATCGAAGAAAACAAAACGATATTGCAAAGATTTATACTAAATGATTTAAAAGAGAAAAAGAAATAATGGTTTTCAATTTTCATAAATTAGCACGAATTAAAAAATGTTATTTCTTTTCACACACCTTGAACTTATTTATTTTCAATATTGTATAAAAGGAATTGAGTCTTTGAAACAAAATCAAATATTTAAACCTCAATATCTTTAGAACTCGATCGTGTAAACCTTTGATATTTCAAACTCAGATTATTTGATCTAACAGAATTCATAGTTTGAAATATCTAAGGTCTGCAACATTTGGTTCTAAGGATTAGTGATTAGAAAATCAGAGTTTGTGGCAAAGATTCAATTCCTTTATAAATCTTTTTCCTAAACAGCTGGTCGAGTTTAACATCAAAGAATGCAAACTATCCAATTAATTTAAAATATAAAAATAAATACGTATCTTTCTAATTCATAGAATTGGCTGGGAAATATTCCCACAACCTTTATTTTGTATTTTTGTTATATTTTAAAACTAAATTACTTATACTTACTTATTTTTATACAGTGGTAGGCAATTATACCAATACAATGAAGACGACTTTTGAATTCAATTTTGATTTAAATTACGCTGTTAAACAGCATGGATACATAAAAACATAGAAGTCAAGCAAATTTGTTATTTAAAAAAGCTTCTTTTTGATTACATGTAAACTTGTAATTCGAAAAAAGCTTGTTAGTGATCAAACTTAATTTAAAAAGTCGTCTTCATTGTAGTGATATAATCGCTTACCACCGTATGTTTAGTTCAGCATTTATGTAGAAGTATGAAAAATGGCGAAGAAAAAATATTTAAAGGGATTGTCTGTTTTACTAACTTTACAGCTAATAAAAGATTCCCAATAGTACCCTATAAACCTGTATCTGATCTATACTGAGGAAGATATTGATTGAGAAGCCTTAAATTCGGACAATTTTCACTTTTACAAAAACCTCAATTAAAAATAATCAATTTTTTAAAAAGAAGATTATGGATATCTTATACATTCTTAATTTGACTAAGCTAATTTAAAGTTACCAATGTGAACTGGAAATGCCATTTTATAAATGGAGATTCCCTTGATAATATCTCTAAACAGTCCATAAAGAAATATATTCCAGGTAAAAGGGTTGGGTTGAAGGTAAGAGAGCACAGTGTGCTGGGACCTTATGTGGATGGTCTCTCAAAACTAGGAAATCATTTTTTAATCAATCAATCAAATTATTTGACAGGAAATTAAATCATTATTATCATTATTATATTTCTAACAATGTTCGCTAAATCAAAGACTTCAACAAATTTTCAAAATAAATAAAATTAAATATGTAAGTGGGCGCTAGATTTATTAGTTATAACTTATCATTAAATCTAAAAAAAATCAAAATTGAATACATTGTATTATTGTAATTGTAATTTGTAAACCATATCATATATTCATAATGAAATTAAGAAAGGGCAATAATAAGATATCTTTTTGATCAAAAAATAAAAATGCATTTGTTCAGTTGTTTCTTCTTATGAGGATATTGATGCACTAATGGAGGAAGGTAAAAGAAAGAATTTAAATATTTAAAAAATAGATTTTTTATTTAAATTTTTTTTATTATTTATTTATACTTTGTAGAGAACTTATATCTCCGTTTGATTTTGTTTGTTAGGATCTAATCGATTAAATAACAAGTTTTTTTGTCGCTATTTTTTTTATAAAAATACAAATTGGCATTATGCATGTCGATCCTGTAGAATACGACCATAATTGCAGTTGTACAATTGTGTAATATAATAGGAAAAATACTTTTTCTAAGGTATATGGCCTTTTTGTTTTATTGAATTTTTAATTTTTTAATTTTTAAAATTTTATTTAAATTATGATTCAACTAATTTTTTTTTATTTTTTTAGAAATAAACTTTTATTTTTGTTAAACTTAGGTTTCTGGGGTAGAGCAGGGGCGTGTAAAGGAATTTGTATTGACTCAATCTTTTAAAACTTTTCTATAATGTCCCCCCTGTATGCCAAAAGAAAACCTTGCTTGGTAATTCTTTTTTTTTAGGTAATAAATCCCGAACTGTTGCAGCTACTAATATGAACAATGAGTCCAGTAGATCTCATGCTGTCTTCACGATCATTCTCACATTCAGGTTAGTTTTTTAGTCTTTTATTTCACTATGTAAGTCTCTTCTAACAGCATGTTAGTTTAGTCTAACAGTATTTTAGTCTTATATATCAGCATGTTAGTCCTTTCTAAAATTATGTTAGTATTTTCTTACAGTATGTTAGTCTTTTTTAATAGTATATATATATATAATAGTATATGTACTCCTAAGTGAGGCAGAGGGTTGCCGGGAGGGGTGGTTTCCTGGTAACATTCGTGTTATTGGGATGTCATAATAGATAGATATAAGTCTTTTATAACAGTATGTTAGTCTTATTTAACATTATGTTAGTCTTTTCTGACAGTATGTAGTAATTGTCGTACTCTTAAAACTGCTACCAGAATCGTATCAGTCCAGGTACAACTCGTAAAACTATCAATGCCAAACCAATGGCACGATCTCATAGGCTCTGATGTCAACATGGACATAAGCTCCAAACTATCAATGCCAACCCAATGGGCACGATCTCATAGGCTTCAATTGCAACACAGACACAAGCTCTAAACTATCAATGCCTAACCAATGGGCACGCTATCATAGGCTCTGATGTCAACAAGGACATAAGCATGTAACTATCAATGCCTAATCAATGGGCATGATGTTTTCAGCTTGTATGTTTCAACGAGGAACTATTTACGTCTCAATTTAAGTTGAGTATATTCCAACTAATGTGTATTTAGAAATCTATATTACAAATTAACGTTAACTACAATGTTTACGTCGATATATATAATATATATATATATATATATGTACAGCGTAGTTTAAGTTTAATATACATATTTACAAGATTAGGGCAAATATATGAGCGTAGTTAAGCTAATCAAAATACAGGTTCTGACGTATTTACATATCATGTCTAATCATGTTACTTAGTTATTTACAGCACAGTTAAGATAAATTATGATATGGGTTTTATGTAGCTATTTACAATGTAGATATATTGTACAACGTAGTTTAGGTTTACAAATATAGTGTTACACGATATTTATTACAAGTATGTTAATCTTTTATACCATTATATTAGTTTTTTTTCTAGCAGTACGTTAGTCTTTTTAATCAGTATGTTAGAATTTTCTAACAGTATATAAGTCTTATTATAACAGTATGTTAAAATAAAAGTATTTGATCATTTTATTTGCAGGTTAAGGGACGAGTTGAGTGGAGTTGAAGGAACAAAAGTTTCCCGGATTTGTCTTGTTGATCTAGCAGGCTCAGAGAGAGCTGTCAAAACAGGTAATAGCCCACGCGAAACTAAATAAAGCTAAGTTGTTGATCTAGAAAAAAATGATTTTTGTTTTTGTTTTAGGAGCAGTCGGCCAGAGGTTAAAAGAAGGATCAAATATTAACAAATCATTAACTACATTAGGTAAAATTTGTTTTTATTTAAAAAAATATATTTTTGAAATTTAAAAAAATTAAGAAAAAATTGTCTAAGGTTTGGTTATTTCTAAGCTGGCTGACCAACAATTAACGATTAGTAAAAATAAGGTATTTTTATAAAAAATTATATTTATTATCTCTCTTTTCATTTTCAAGCATATTTTTATCTTATAGACATTTTAAAAATTTTTAAGATATACATTTAGTTTTTTTTTAGTGTTAGGAAAACTCTAAATTTATTCAAAATTTTGCGTTTCTAAGGTTTCTTTTTGTGTTCATGAAATCTTTCTGGTTGGTGGATTTTAGTAAACAGAAAAATTCTTTAAACTTTTATTTCAAATATTTGTTAAAAATTGGAATTCTGAATTGCTCTTGAATCTAAAACTGTATTATTTCTGAAAATTTAATAACAATTTATTGTGATTTATAAATCTTTTTTCAGGATAAATTTGTACCGTACAGAGATAGTGTGTTAACTTGGCTGCTAAAGGTGGGATTTGTTAAAGTTTAGGAGGGAACAGTAGAACTATTAATATGTTAAATATATTTCACACAATGACAGCTATATCTATAACAGAACAGTTTAGGAAGGAACAGTAGTACAATAATGATGTATTATATATGTCTAACACAATGATAACTATCTCTATTACAGGACAGTTTAGGAGGAATGCAGCAGAACTATTAATATGTTAAATATATTTCACACAATGATAGCTATACTTATTACATGACAGTTTAGGAGGGAACAGTAGTACTAATAGTGATGTATTATCTCACACAATAATAGCTATATCTATTCTATTACAGGACAGCTTAGGAGGAAACAGCAGAACTATTATGATCGCTACCCTATCACCTTCAGCGGATAATCATCATGAATCCTTGTCAACTCTTAGATACGCTGATAGGTAATACTCTAGCAAGATACAGGGCTACCCATAAAAGATGAAATGACGACCTATTAAACTAGAAAGAAAATAAAGATCCGCGGCTGAATTTTCATTTCAAAGATTTTAAGATACGGGTTTACCCATAAAAGATAAAATGACGACCTATAGAAATATAAGAAAAAATAACCCGCTTGGTTAATGTTGATTTCTGCATTTAGATTTTAGGAATACTTACACTTAAAACTTAGGGAGGGGAGGGGGAGGGGGTAAACTTAAGGATTTGATTTAGAAAAAAGGAAGTTAAAACAGTTCCAGGGAACAAAAAAGTAAGAAAAAAGCCTTAGTCGTCTCTGAAGTCTCAATCTTTGTGGGTAACCCGGTACACTATTGCATATTGGAACCCACATATCTTTTTAACAAAAAGTTTACATAAGTTTTTGGGAGGAATTAAAATAAGAAATTCCGGTATACTTTTTTGTCGAAAAAAATGCTTCTCTGTAGTCTATTGCAAAATAAAGAATAAAAATATACTGCCCAAATTTTCAATAAGGCTTGTATTTACAGCAGATAAACCATTTCCTTAATTATATTAACTGTTTAAGAAATTAGGAAATTAAGAAACAGACCTGATGTTTAAACATTATTTTATTGAGTTGGTTTATTCTTTTGTTTTCTCTAATAGAATTCCACTCCAATCTTGTAAAAGGAAATGTCAGTTTCAGTTTAAAGTTTTCTCAAATGCCTTGAGGATATACAACAAACTATATAAGAATGTGATATTCGTATAAAAGGGTCTATCCAAACTTGCCTCAAAGGAACTGAGTTTTTGCCACAAACTCTAATAGACTAATCCCTATATCTTTCCTATCTGATGATGTAAACCTTTGATATTTCAATCTATGATTATTTGATCCAACAGAATTAATAGTTTGAAATATCAAAGGTCTACAGCATATGGATGCAAAGATATAGGGATTCGAAAATAACTTCCTTTTTGTAGTTTTGTTGACGTAATTTCAATTGACCTTCCACATGTAGATTGGTGTTTCTGATTCACATCAGTAACCCTTTAAACACTTGACTTGGAGGAAGAACTTATCCTTGTTTATTTTCAGAAATGCTTTTAATTCTGGATAAGTTGTTGGCAAACTGTTTTATATTTAAAAATATTAATATATACTTTACAGTAGTCGCAGGAAATACGATACTTTCAGTCAAATTTCAAAAACTGATTACAGTCCGTTCAAGCTTTCTAAATTGACTCACAAGCTTACAATTACAGATCCTCATATTGCAATCTTTAAAAACTGATTACAGTCCCTTCAAGCTTCCTAAATTGACTCACAAGCTTACAACTACAGATCCTCATATTACAATCTTTAAAAACTGATTACAGTCCCTTCAAGCTTTATAAATTGCCTCAAAAGCTTACAACTACAGATCCTCATATTGCAATCTTTTAAAACTGATTACAGTCCCTTCAAGCTTCCTAAATTGACTCACAAGCTTATAACTACAGATCCTCATATTGCAATCTTTAAAAACTGATTACAGTCCCTTCAAGCTTTCTAAATTGACTCACAAGCTTATAACTACAGATCCTCATATTGCAATCTTTAAAAACTGATTACAGTCCCTTCAAGCTTTCTAAATTGACCCACAAGCTTACAATTACGGATCCTCATATTGCAATCTTTAAAAACTGATTACAGTCCCTTCAAGCTTTCTAAATTGACTCACAAGCTTACAATTACTGATCGTCATATTGCTATCTTTAAAAGCATGAAGGAGACTTTAGTCTCACCATAGATTAAGGAGCATTCACAACGGTACCCCTTAACCTTTATCTGATCAATAATTTGGAAGATAAACTTGTTTTCTGATGTGAAACGTGTTTTGCTATCAAAAATTTCTCCATTGTTTTGCAGCAGAATTCCGCAAGTAATGTTTGTAGAGAAACCACAGTTGAAAATTAATCTGAAATGTCCCTTTTTAAGTTTTAATTATGTCTACAGTCCCCATTTATCCCAGGGCTAAGAGAATAGTGAACCATGCAGTGGTAAATGAGGATCCAAATGCCAAGATAATCCGCGAACTCAGATCAGAGATTGAAACATTAAAGGAGCTTTTAATCCATACTGCTGATCCTCAAATGCTGAAGGTAACATTAAAGCAGCATTTAATCCATATAGCTGATCCACAAGTGCTAAAGGTAACATTAAAGGAGCTTTTAATCCACACAGCTGATCCACAAATGCTGAAGGTAACATTAATGCAGCTTTTAATCCATACAGCTGATCCACAAGACAGAAGGTAAAATTAAAGAACTTTTAACCCATACTGCTGTTCCACAAATGCTGAAGGTAACGTTAAGAAGCTTTTAACCCATACAGCTGATCCGAAATGCTGAAGGTAACATTATGAAGCTTTTAACCCATACAGCTGATCCACAAATGCTGAAGGTAACATTAAGAAGCTTTTAACCCATACAGCTGATCCGAAATGCTGAAGGTAACATTATGAAGCTTTTAACCCATACAGCTGATCCAAAATGCCGAAGGTAATTAACATTATGAAGCTTTTAACCCATACTGCTGATCCACAAATGCTGAAAGCACATTGATGGAGCTTTTAATCCATACTCCTGATTAAGGTAACATTAGGTCTAAAGCTTGGCTTTTACAAGAACTGCCTAAATTTATTTTATAATTGAACAATAATAATATTGTTCAGGAGAAGCTGGGGGAGAATAAGAAGTTAATAATATTGTTCAGGAGAAGCTGGGGGAGAATAAGAAGTTAATAATATTGTTCAAGAGAAGCTAGGGGAGAATGAGAGGTTTATGATATTGTTCAGGAGAAGCTGGGGGAGAATAAGAAGTAAATAATATTGTTCAGGAGAAGCTGGGGAAGAATGAGAAGTAAATAAATAATAATGTTCAGGAGAAGCTGGGGGAGAATGAGAAGTTTATAATATTGTTCAGGAGAAGCTGGGGGAGAATAAGAAGTAAATAATATTGTTCAGGAGAAGCTGGGGAAGAATGAGAAGTAAATAAATAATACTGTTCAGGAGAAGCTGGGGGGAGAATGAGAAGTTTATAATATTGTTCAGGAGAAGCTGGGGGAGAATGAGAAGTTAATAATATTGTTCGGGAGAAGCTGAGAGAGAATGAGAGGTTTATGATATTGTTCAGAAGAAACTGGGGAAGAATGAGAAGTAAATAAATTATACTTTTCAGGAGAAGCTAGGGGAGAATGAGAAGTTTATAATATTGTTCAGGAGAAGCTGGGGAAGAATGAGAAGTAAATAAATTATATTGTTCAGGAGAAGCTGAGAGAGAATGAGAAGTTTATAATATTGTTCAGGAGAAGCTGAGAGAGATTGAGAAGTAAATAATAATATTGTTCAGGAGAAGCTGAGAGAGAATGAGAAGTTAATAATATTGTTCAGGAGAAGCTGGGGAGAATAAGAAGTAAATAATAATATTGTTCAGGTGAAGCTGGGGGAGAATAAGAAGTAAATAATATTGTTCAGGAGAAGCTGGGGAGAATAAGAAGTAAATAATAATATTGTTCAGGAGAAGCTGAGAGAGAATGAGAAGTAAATAATAATATTGTTCAGGAGAAGCTGGGGAGAATAAGAAGTAAATAATAATATTGTTCAGGAGAAGCTGGGGGAGAATAAGAAGTAAATAATAATATTGTTCAGGAGAAGCTGGGGGAAAATAAGAAGTAAATAATTATATTGTTCAGGAGAAGCTTGGGGAGAATGAGAAGTTAATGAAAGAAGTCTCCTTGACTTGGCAGCAGAAGAAGGATAAAACAGAACAAATACAAGTTAGTAATCAATCATTCAATCAATAAATCAATCAATCAATCAATCAATATATCAATTTATCAATCATCAATCAATTTATCAATTATCAATCATAACATTATCAGTAAATCAATTAATTAACCAGAAACACAATCAACAAGCAGTGAAGGATAAAACATTCAGTAATCAATCAATGCATTATTCAAACAACTAAATATTAAAATCATTTAATCAATCAATTCATTAATAATTGAACTAATTATTGAATCATTCATTAAATCAATTATTAAACCAATCTTTAAATCAATTATTGAATTAATCATATTAAATTAATCATAATCAATTATTGAATCGTCTTTAAATCAATCATTAAATCAATTAATAAATCAGTCAATTGATGAATCTATTCAATCAATTAATGAATCTATCAATCAATTAATAAATTATCGCGGCGAAAATAACCTATTCTGATGAATTTAAACTTTTACTCTTCAGGAAGATAGAAGGCAAGCAATAGAGAAGATGGGTATATCTCTTCAATCTTCAGGCATTAAGGTGATCTATCTTTAATTCAAATACAGTGGGACACATTAAGCAACGGTATAGGAAGACGACATTTAATCAATCTTGAGTTTATATTTAATGTTGCATTACAATAACAATAAAAATTTCGCTGATTTTCTAGTTTTCATTAGCGGATTACCCCCCATTACATTGATCTTCTTTTGAGGCTACATTTTAAATTTCTGACCGGCCCTAAACCCTCCTTTGGGTTACATGAGTTACAAAAAAAAACGTTTCGTGGGTTTGTTTGTGGGCCATACAAAAAATTACAAACAAACAAATATTAATCTTTGTCTGAGGATTGTTTAGGTTGAGAAGGATCGTTACTTCCTGGTAAATCTGAACTCAGATCAAAGTTTAAATATTGAACTTTGTCAGATTGTTTAGGTTGAGAAGGATCGTTACTTCCTGGTAAATCTTAACTCAGATCCAAGTTTGAATATTGAACTTTATTTGATGATTGTTTAGGTTGAGAAAGATCGTTACTTTCTGTTAAATCTTAACTCAGATCTAAGTTTGAATATTGAACTTTATTTGATGATTGTTTAGGTTGAGAAAGATCGTTACTTCCTGGTAAATCTGAACGCAGATCCAAGTTTAAATGAACTTTTAGTTTATTACATCCAGGTATACTCTACTCTACACAGAATTTAATTGAATATAATTACTACCAGAACCAATGTTTAAACTTGTGCACAATGCACATGTTATGTTTGGAAGAGAATTGAAGAAAGCAAAGAAAAAATTGAAAATAAAAAGAATAATCTTAACATAAAGGTTGTAAAAAATCAGCATGATTAAAAAAATCATCAATATGTCAAGCGGTAGTATTTTGAAAACATATTGAACAACAAACACTGATTTAACACCTGTTTACTTACTGCACTGAATGTTACTCATGTTGTTTTAGGATACAACTCTGGTAGGAAGAGAAGAGGCTAATGTACTGCAAAATATTCAGTTGTCTGGTAAACAAAAATATTCAATTAATCAAGTTTAATTTAATCAAATCAATCATTTGTCAGTTAATTGATATTAAAAAGGTAATCAATTGGCTGATTTTTGTATAAATTGATTGATTGATTGATTTTTTATTAAGGACTGGGAATACAAGCAGAACATTGTAAACTAAGTATCGAAGACGACTCCTTGTTTATTGAACCATTTTCAGGAATTTATCAAACTTTTTACATTAATTCACATTGGTACCCTTAAAGCGTTGTCTTCTCAATAATGCATTAAGTGTTCACTATCCATCATTATAAATAACTATATATATCAGATAGATATTGATATGTTATACAATTTGTAAATAAATTTTATATTAAAAAAAGTTTTATGAATTATACAGGTGCAAAAACTTGTGTCAATGGAAAAGAAATCCAGGTAAAAAAAATCATTTTATTCTGATAAATTAAAAAAAAATTGATTTTTTTTACATTTAATTTTTCATAAAGTATCAGGCTTTCATATCCCCAAAGCAGGAAAAATAAAAGAACTATTTTTTTATATGATTTGATTTGATTTGATCCTATATTTAGTTTGCCTGCTTGTTTTTATTCAATAACAATCAAAAAGGCTGAAATTTTGTTTTGGTACGACCCCAGGGAAGGTGAAAAAGTTTGCCAAGAAAAAATGTCAACTTGAAATTTTTGTAGAACAGCGAAATGTTTAGTTTTTGCTGTACTGACAAAAGTGTTTAAATGTTGTTAAAAATCGTAAAGCCAATCTAAAATTTCGATCTAGTAAAGTCATTTTGGAATTATAGAGTGGACGTAAGACAACCCTAACAGTCTGATTTGATTTTTTTTATTTAATTTTCTTTGGAATAAGAAATAATTTTTTAATTAAAAAAAGATGTGGAGAAACCATTAAAAATCGGATTCTAATTTTGAAATTACCAGAAAAAAGATTATTAATTTTTTTTCTTCTTTGATGATGAATGCTGTGAATTTTATTTTTATAAGTGTTTTTTTTCAATTAGTTTTTTAATCTTTATACAAAAAAAGGTTTTTATGCAAACAACAATTCTTTTCCTGAAAGGTTTTATAAATTCAAAATTATTCTTTCTTAGGTTTAAATATTAGATTACTGCGTGCTCTGCATCCCTTTTCAGATTTTTTATTTTCACCATTTTATAAAAATGTTTTACATTGTGTTCAAAAATAAGTATTTCAAATAATGATACTTTGAATACCCTGGCAGTAGATGGATATAAGTTAATTGATTTTGGTTGTGCTAGACTCAAACCCTGGAGTAGATGGATATTGTAATATATGATATATATTACATACATTAACTATCATCAAAAAGATCAAACACCACGACAGCGTTACAATATAAGTTAATTGATTTTGGTTTTGTTAAAATCTAATTCTGGAGTAGATGGATATAAGTTAAATGATTTTGGTTGTGCTTAACTCGAACCTTGGAGTAGATGGATATAAGTTAATTGATTTCAGTTTTGCTAAACTCAAACCCTGGATTAGATGGATATAAGTTAAATGATTTTGGTGGTGCTTAACTCGAACCCTGGAGTAGATGGATATAAGTTAATTGATTTTGGTTTTGCTAAACTCAAACCCTGGAGTAGATGGATATAAGTTAAATGATTTTGGTTGTGTTTAACTCGAACCCTGGAGTAGATGGATATAAGTTAATTGATTTTGGTTTTGCTAGACTCGAACCTTGAAGTAGATGGATATAAGTTAATTGATTTTGGTTGTGCTAGACTCGAACCCTGGAGTAGATGGATATAAGTTAATTGATTTTGGTTTTGCTAGACTCGAACCTTGAAGTAGATGGATATAAGTTAATTGATTTTGGTTGTGCTAGACTCGAACCCTTGAGTAGATGGATATAAGTCAATTGATTTTGGTTTTACTAGACTCGAACCCTGGCTGAAGATGGAGATAGAATTCTCTGGGGATTCAATCATTTCTTCAGGGTTAATTGCCCAAATAAAAATAAGGTAATTTACACAGAAAAGGACCCTCCAGGCAAATATTCCAATACTCGATTCACAAAGGCACCCTTAAAAGCTTTCCCTGATCAAGTATGAATTATAATTTTGAAAACTGATTATATTGAAACCTAGAAAAACGACAATATCTTCCACATTTTTTATCAGATAAAGGATTTAAAGGTACATACTGTTGTGAATTGGGTATTGTCAACTTTGCACGATAGGTCACTTAAAATTACGCTTACTGTCCCTTTAACAGTCTTGATTTTGTAAATATAACTTGTTGAAAGATACTGCACCCAAAATTTCAAGTCACCTTCTATTTAAAAAAAAGAGTGTGACATGTCCGATGCACATTAGCATCCGAGTAAAAATTAAGGAAGATTTTTTTTCTATTTGTTTGAAGAACTAAGTTTGCCACGCAACCTGATGGTAAAAACCTTTATGTATTTCCAGCAAAAAGAATTCATCATTTGAAATAGCAAACATCAGGTTGCAAAGATATAGGGGGAGAAGATCAGAGTTTGTGGCAAAAACTTTGATCCTTTATCAGCGACAATGTCTTTGGTAAATCCACAAGTCATTTTTTTAGAAAATAAAGAATTTAAGTTTTAAAAATTAAAAAGTATAATTTTGTATAATGTTTATAGAGTTAAATTATTTGTTCTAAAATTAAGGGTTTTAGAACAAGTTAAACTCGATAAAAATTCGCTAATTTTTGAATTTAGGATAAAGAGAAAAAATTGCTAAATGAGGAAGGAAGAGACACTATGCCTTCTATAGATTGGAGGATGGCCCAGGTTTAATTTTGTCATTTTAAATATATATATCTATATATATATATTTGTTTTCATAAATATTTAGCTAATTTTGAGAAAGAAAAGAAATCTCAAGCTAAATTGGACTAAAAGGGATAAACACAAGAAAACAATTGGATCGGGATAAAAAAGGGTGGGTTAAGTAATAGAAAACAATTAGATTGGACTTAAAGGGTTAAATAATAGAAAACAACTGGATCGAACTGAAAGGGTTAAATAATAGAAAACAACTGGATCGGACTGAAAGGGTTAAATAATAGAAAACAACTGGATCGGACTGAAAGGGTTTAAATAATAGAAAACAACTGGATCGGACTGAAAGGGTTAAATAATAGAAAACAACTGGATCGGACTGAAAGGGTTAAATAAAGAAAACAATTGGATTGGACTGAAAGGGTTATATAAAAGAAAACAATTGGATTGGACTGAAAGGGTTATATAAAAGAAAACAATTGGATCGGACTGAAAGGGTTAAATAAAAGAAAATAACTGCATCGGACTGAAAGGGTTACATAATAGAAAACAACTGGATCGGACTGAAAGGGTTATATAAAAGAAAACAATTGGATCGGAATGAAAGGGTTATATAAAAGAAAACAATTAGATTGGACTGAAAGGGTTAAATAAAAGAAAACAATTAGATTGGACTGAAAGGGTTATATAAAAGAAAACAACTGGATCGGACTGAAAGGGTTATATAAAAGAAAACAATTAGATTGGACTGAAAGGGTTATATAAAAGAAAACAATTGGATTGGACTGAAAGGGTTATATAAAAGAAAACAATTGGATCGGACTGAAAGGGTTAAATAAAAGAAAATAACTGCATCGGACTGAAAGGGTTACATAATAGAAAACAACTGGATCGGACTGAAAGGGTTAAATAATAGAAAACAACTGGATCGGGTTAAAAGGGTTACATAATAGAAAACAACTGGATCGGACTGAAAGGGTTAAATAATAGAAAACTACTGGATCGGGTTAAAAGGGTTATTTTGTTCAGGAGGAAGTGATGTTAATGAAGAACCTATCAGAAAGAGAACTGAGAATGAAAATGGAAAAAAGGAAAATATATTTTTACAAATATTTCCAAAAATTCTTTTAACTGACTGTAACAGTTTCTAAAAATATCTATTTTCTATTTTGTAAAAAAATATTATCTTTTAGGTTCAATTCGGAAAAACAAACTGCGTTAGGTAAGAAATAAACATAATCAATACTCTAAAAATTATTTCTTGTGTCAGAAAATCTTATTTTTTGAAGAAGTTTTAGTTTTAAGAAAAATATTATGAATAAAATGTAGAGAAATAAGGTAGAAAAAGATTGGATAAAAGTTCTAATTTTTTGGTTTCTTTCAAATCTTAACTATTTACTGATTTTGTGGATTAATATCAAATATTATTTAAATGGGACAATTTTAAGCATAACTACACAATATTGTTCTATAAAATTATCTAAAGACAGCTTATTAAACTTTTATTTTAAATAATTATTTTATTTTGAAGAGAATCAAAGACTTGAATACGAAAGAAAACTGGAAAACCTTCGACATACAATAACAATGCAGCAGGTACATTACAGTACAGAACAGTACAGAACAGTACAGTACAGTAAAGTGCAGTACAGTACAGTACAGTACATTACAGTACAGTACAGTACAGTACAGTACAGTACAGTACAGTACAGTACAGTACAGTACAGTACAGTACAGTACAGTACAGTAAAGTACAGTACAGTACAGTACAGTACAGTACATTACAGTACAGTACAGTAAAGTACAGTACAGTACAGTACAGTACAGTACAGTACAGTACAATGCAGTTCAATGCAATACAGTACAGTGTAGCGCAGTACGGTACAGTGCAGTACAGTACAGCACAATACAGTACAGTGCAGTACAGTACAGCACAATACAGTACAGTGTAGTACAGTACAGCACAGCACAGCACAGCACAGCACAGCACAGCACAGCACAGCACAGCTTGCTATATAAAGATATAATGTTACAGTGTGCAATGCCTTAACGTGTTAACCTTTTTTTGTTTAGGATTTTGAGTATCCAACGCGGCATTCTTTACTTACGTCGTCTTTTCTTGAAGGAAACAAATTTGTCAATTATAATAATAATAGTTCAAATCAGAAGATTAAAAATTTAGGGCTGGACCGGCCAGAATGCTAGTAATTGAAATTAACGTTTCCCATAAACAACATTGTTTGGAGACTATTGTTAACGATCAATCATAGTAATGACTTATGGTAACAAACTGATAAATCTTAGACGACCGTTAGCTATACAAAGCAGAATCAAAGTGGAAAAGAATGATATAGAATAATATAGAATGATAAAGAATGATATAGAATGATATAGAATGATATAGAATGATATAGAATGATAAGAATGATATAGAATGATATAGAATGATATAGAATGATATTAATAAGGGTGGTTTTCTAAATTCAAGAACGTGTCCATTCCTAAAAATAAAGAAGTGTATTGCACAGATTAAAAGTTTACCTTTTTTTGATCTTAATATGGGTATTTTAAATTTCTCAGAGCTCTTTTAAAAGTTTAATTTTGATTTATGAAATAATTGAATTTGATGCATAGAAGAAGATGGATGGGGTGACAGTTGTGATGAAAAATGGAGACAGGTATAAAAGAAATGTTAAACCTTTTTTGTTACTAGCTGGCGTTGCTCGTGAAATTTTTAAAATACTTGGAAGAAATTGTTTTTCGAATTAAATTAATTTTGAAAAAAATTTTATGGCGAGAAGAAAAATTTATTTCGAATTTTTTTGAGGAAACCCCGGGCTCACCATGGGTTCCTTCAACAAATGTCAGCCTTTATACGTTCATATATTCTATATTCTCTATATTCTATATTCTTTGATTCTAAATGCATTCACGATTTTTTCAGGGCGTTTCCAAGCTTAAAGAAGAGATAATACAGGCCAATTTATTGATAAGGAATAGACCTGCTTTTAAAGCATCATATCATATACATTAAAGTTTTTTATTCATGATTTAAGTTTTCTATAAATTATATCATTTTGTAACAAGTGTTAGTATTGATTCATGAGTACAGAATGACAATTTATCACCTTATTAAAAATTTAAAAAACACTTTAAAACAAGTTTGGATTTAGAGAAGCAAATCTACTAGCAGAGGAATTGGGAAAATCCGCAAGATTTAGGAAAACTTAAAACCGCCATTTAAAATTTTCATTTTGAACTTTTAGCACTACTTTTTTGCAACTATTTTAAAGATAATTTTTTTTCGACGTTTAAGTTTTGTTTTTATAGTGCAACTCTCCGTATTCCTCCTCAAAACCTTACTCTGAACAGGTAAAAAAAAAAAACAATTCAATTAACAATTATTATTTTTTTTCTGATTTAATTTATTTCGATTTAAAAATCAGAGGCCATCTTAATCTCAATCCCTTATGACTAGTTTAACAAAAATAAAACTTAGGCCCCCTGGAGGATTTCTAGCTGAGCCCGCCATTTTGGTTCGACAAGGGGAAGCCGCTCCAGCCACGTGGAGTCTGGACAAAATGGATGCCAAGATTGTGCGCATGCGTGAACTTTATAAAATGGCGGGGCCAAGATCAAGTGTTGAACCATTAAATCAAGATGAGACAAATGAACAATCAGGGAAGAATAAACTTGTAGGGTGACTGTTTTATTTATTTATTTAAACTTAAATGATGAAACACAAATCTCAAGAATAAATTTTAGCTTTTAAACTTGAAGGGTGACTGTTTTATTTTATGTGATGCTGTATGGTTTTAATAACAAGAAAAAGTAAAAAATCAAAAAAAAACTGGAATGAATTTATTAAGAAAACACAATCCCTAAATTAAGATAAATATTCTTGATAAAATAAGGTGACCTAAACACCACACTTGAGGAGTTACTAGATGATCCATTCAGCGAGCCGACCCAAAATCACGAACTAATTGGGGTTGCAAACCTATTTCTTGGTTCACTATTCCACGAGGTCAAATTCCAATACTGGGTTCCGGTCATCTCACCTCAGGGAGAGGTCGCGGGGAAACTAGAGGTAAGAAAAATATTTTCAGAGTAATATACGACCTTTGCAAAGATAGCCCAAGTTAAATTTTTTTAGTCACCTAATCATAAAAGTGTTTTAACACAGAACATATATTTAAGATAGAGCTTGAAAAAACTGGAGGCAGTTTACCGGAGGATAGGATGGCAGGAGGGGATGAAGATTCAGAGTCTTCAGAGGTAAACTATCCAGAACAATTCTAGTTTGATTCAAGTTTTCTACATTTGTATTATTTTAAATTTATCAAATTAACAGATGTTAATAGAAAAGGAAAAGCGAAAGGTTTTTGACACAACCATCATTTCCACATACTCCTACAAATAATCTTATCAACAACTACTTTCCTAAATAGTCATCTAAACGATTTTTAGGTCTTAAGCCAGGCTTCCAGAGAATCCAAACATAGCAAGGTTTCCAGCGAATCCAGACCTTTGGATGAGTCTAAAATTTCATTTATTTTGAGAATTAGGTAATTTTTACTATTTTCATAAAGATTAATTAAAATCTGTTTTTAACTGTCTAACTATCATTTAGGGAGTTGAAAGGAGTTGACCTCGCCTTCTCTGAGTTTGTTTTCTGTGAGTTCTGTTTGGACAGTCAGGAACCAATTCTTGTTCTTCCTAAGATGGATTCTCTGAAGCTCTCGCAGTTTGAGCAAAATGTTAGTTTCAACTTTGAGAAAGAGTTTATACTTACCGTAAATGAGGATCTGATTGATTTTTGTACAGACGGAGCGATTCCAATTCATGTCTTGGGACAAAGATCTGATTTGCTTGAGAATTTCCATGTGGCAGGGAGTCCAGGTAAAAAGGTTAAATCCTTGGAGGATGTTTGGGACATGGTGAGTAGACGGTTGGAACTAACGATGGCTGTTCTTGAGCTCAATGATGAAGGAGAATATGTTCCTGTTGAAGTTGTTCAGGAGGAGGGTGGCACAGCTGGAATATTCCAGCTGAGGCATGGGCAGCAGAAGCGAATGTCTTTCCAAATTCAACCCATTGAAGGATCTGGTTCTCTTCCGATAGAACTAGATGGTATCCTTAATGTGTCCATAGGATGTCCTTGTGTCAGAAATAAGTCAGATAAACCCATGGATTCATATCAAGAGGATGACTTAAACCAGCTTAGGGAGAGGTGGAGTCAGGCATTGGACATTCGAAAGAACCATCTTCAGACTCAGATTCAGGCCTTCTTGGATATTCCAGATAAGAATGAACATGAGAAAGCGAGAGAAGAGTCTCTTCTTAGCCAGTTGGTAGAGCTTATGGAGGAGCAAAATGCCACTTATTCCCCTCCAGACAACTCCAAAATCCCTGGCTCTATGGTCAATTCCTTCCCAAGAGGAGATGGCATTGAACGCCATCATCCTGTTATTTTTCTCGACACAGTCAGTGGAGATAAGTTTCACGATACTTCCATTGAAGATGAACTTGGCATTCCCCTGTATGGTCAGGATTCAGTATTACCTAATGAACTTGGCACATTGTTTGTGTCACATCCTATTGTAAGTTATTCTGAAAATGAGACTGGATGTCTAGTCTCGTGGGACTCCTCCCTTCATGACTCCCCTGCATTAAATCGAGTAACTGACACTAACCAACGAGTTTTTATGATAGCCAGAGTAACTGTGCGACTTACACAACCCTGCATCATGGACATAGTTCTTAGAAAACGTTTTAGTTTTATAATCTATAAAAAGCAGTCTCTAACCGATAGACTCTGGAAAAAACTTGGACCAGTAAACCCCCAAACGTCTCTAGGGGTAGTCTACCACTTTGTTTATAACATCCCTCGTACAAGCTCAGAGTTGGAGAATCGCGCAAGTTTGGCAGCTGCTGCTGCTTCGGGTCAGGAGATCTTTGCTGATGATGGAGAGTCCTTAGTTGAGAAGTATTCCAAAGGAGTAAGCGCAGTTGACGAACTCCTTCGCACGGATAAGGTCCGTCAGCATATTGCTCTAAAAGAACTTTTAACAAAGAAAATGATAGTAAAAATGCCGTTGAATAATATGAGAAAAACGTTTAGTGTTCCTAATATGCGAATCTTAAAAAATTCTATTTCCTTAGATAACATTTCTGCCATGAATTTTAGACCATCAGAAAGTTTCCATGAACTTAACTTAGAGCTTGGAAAAACGCGCAAAGTGAGTGTAGAGGACGAACCTCGCGGCATTCTGCGCAGAATGACAAACTCAAAAACAATGACGACACTCCATGAGGGAAAATCAACTTTGAGTCCAAACTCACAACTATTAAAAAGTCCCAGACAAACATTAGAAAATCAAAGGTAATTTAAACATATAATGAAATGACATAAAATGGTTATGAAAAAAATGTCTGATGTAGGTGGTGCGAAAGAAAGGGAATTTTACCGCCTGCTGACACAAATCTTTCGGTCTCCAGTGGTTATCAGTCTAAGGTAAAAGAAAGTTTTAAAAATACTGTTTTTTTTCTAATTCTTTAGAATTTGATAGTCCATGAAAAGTTTGGTTTTTTGAACAGAAACCTAAATTAGAAGTACAGATAACAAATTTGAAGAAAGATTTTGAATATTTTTTTTCATCATTTTGAAATTTTTAAAGAATTTGTCACTCTTTTTTTAATTAAAGATTTGAATTCAACATGCAAAAAAATCGTGTAATGTTTTATTAAAATAAAAAAAGTTATTTTAACTTTAGGCGGTTTCATTGAGTAGTGAAGATGAGGAAGAAAATTAATCTTAACCTTTGGAACTATAGATGATGAAACATTTGGAATCAGCTTATCCTTAGAACAAGATTAACCCTTCGGACTAGATTAAACTTTGGAAACAGATTAATCCCTGGGACTAGACTACTTGGAACAAGATCAATCCTTGGAACCAGATAAAACCTTAGAACCAGATCAAACTTTGCAACCAAATCAATGTTGGATTTATCCTTGGAACGAGATTAAACTTTGGAACTAGATTAATCCTATTCCTATGGACTAGAATCAACTTTGGAACAGAGATAAATCCTTGAAACCGGATTAATCATTGGAACTTGATTGAACTTTCGAGTCAGGTTGATGTTTGGAACAAGAATAACATTTGGAACCACATTAAACTTTGGAATAACACCAACTATTGGAACTAAACTAATCTTTGGAAGATTTGGAACCAGATTGATACTTTGAACCAGCTTAAACTTTGTGATATAACATAACTTATTAGTAGTGGTATTAAATTGACTGCATGGTTCTAGGCTATAATTACTTAATTAGCATGATCATGAAAACCACTGACTATTGAAAAAAGGGGGGAGGGGAAATTTTTTTCCAATATAAATTTATTAACAGTATTTTCTATAGTTTCACGTTTCCATTCTTCGCAACCAAATTTTATAATATAAAAGATAATTACCTATATAGGAAAACATTTTTGAAAAATTAATAACATCAAAATTTGTTACTTGATAATTATTAGATAAAAATACACTAATTATAATTCTTAACAATGTTCCAACCAGTAAGAAATATGACAAAATTGTAGCATGGCTTTGAAAATTATAATTTTAAATATCAGAGGAGGTCGAATTTAATGAAAAGCGAGAAATCGTTGAGTTAGGTTTGGCTAGTTAAACCATTTCCCATTATAGTTAACTACCAATTCAGTAATTCTGACCTAAAGGGTGTCCTACGAAACATGACAGTTAGTGAATTGTGGGACACCCTGTAGCTTTAACTTGTGGACATACATTTCCATTTGATATCAGCTGGGAACTTTTGTGCTGGATACTCATAATTTCAGGATTTATAATAAGGCTCCCTTCAACCCCTGACTAGGTTCGATTAACAAGCAAAATATCGAATGAAGATTAATCTGTAAATAACTAATTGAGATTAATCGAGTGATATCGATATCAACGAATTACAAGATCACTTTAATAAACAGAGAAGTATATGCGACTTGAAAATCTATCTTATCTGGGATATTATGACTAATATTGACCACATTTCTATGGCGCCAATTCACATTAAAAACAATTTAGAAGCATTTTTATATAAACTTACACCATAACTAATAATTAATAAGAAACCTCAAAATATCGTTAATGAATGTATTTATAAAGATTTTAATTTAAGATATTGTTTTTAGTTCTATCTTAAGTTTCTAAATTGTGGTTGAGCAGCATTGAGATGAAATATACAAATATGAAGTTATTTGAAGTATTTGAAGGATGATAAGGAATATATCTGTCCTTAACCCTAACCAATATTTAAATATCTCGAAAAAGCACATTTAATTAATTGCTAATTGCTCTTTCATTATTTAGGTTATTTTTACACATTAATTAATATGATCGAAAAGACATTCATCAAAATTATATCAGTGTTTTATAGTTAACAATTTTATTTATACAAAAATACAAAATATTCATTACAAACAGAATTACAATTTAAGTAATAAAGTGTTTTTTGTTTACATGAGATGTATAATGTGCAAACTTATCGAGGGAGTATTTTTCCATTGTAATTATTTAGGAAGGTTTCGGTCCTAAACAATACAGTGGTGCCTATAAAACTGTGGATTAAGAAGACGGCATTCAAGCAAACTTTTGTGTCAAACACATCACTTGAAAAAATCGTCTTAAATGAAACGGGTCTGTGTAAATTGCACTTTTGCTGTATTCACAATTCATTGAACTATTGAAAATTGTTTACCATGAGTCCTACAGTCGTCTTTCACTCAGTTTTATGGGTCCCAGTGTACAATTTTACAGGTCTTAAAGTGTACAATGGGACCCATAAAATTGTACATTGACTATGTAAAATTGGAGATGGCTTCCCACTGTTATCCAAATCCTAATTCAGCTATTTGCATCATTTTTCAAATAAGGATTATCTAAAATCGTTATTTTTTAGGAAAATTGCAACAAAAAACATGTCTGCTAAATCAAATGGTTTTAAATGAATGCGACATCACAATTATTTACAATTCAGTTGCTAACTTAAAGATGCATATTTATAGTTAAACATTGCATAGACTGAGTGTACTAAGCATATATATTAGGTAGTGTAGATACCTATATGATAATATCATTATGGACATAGATAACAGACAGATACCTATATGTCGTCTTTTCAAGATTAGTGTGTGTTTCGTTCACAACAACCCTGAGACAGAAGCCCAAAGGAGTTACACGTAGTCGGCGTAGAATAGGCTTTCTCCCTGTCTTATAAATATCGAAAAGACGACATTACAGAATAATTTTTAGATCAAATATCATCTTGAACTATAGAGCTTGCTTACAGTACTTTAGGACTTTAACGTAATTTCAAGTGACCCTACAAACAAAAAACTACAATGCCCGATCCACAACGGTACCATTGAAACTTTTATTTTATGAAAAATGTGGAAGAATTTCTTTTTAAGCTTTATAAGTGGTTAATTTTGATAATTCCTTTATGTTTTCTTGCTTTAAAAATGCGCAAGTCACTTTTTTAGAGAAACCCAATTGAAATATATTAGTTTTCAAAATTATGACATTAATATCTAGTTCTTACTTGATCAGACAAAGGTTTCAAGGGTACCAATGCACCTTTGCTAGGAGTGTCTCTTTAAATCACGCTTTCAGTCCCATTTAAGCAAGAAGTAAAACAAGATTGCTTTGTGATTAAACAATACAAATGCTACACATAATTTACATATTTCACATAGTTTCCTGCATTGTTTCTTAATTCAGAAATGCGCGAATCACTTAATTCAGAAACTCCAATTTTTGATTTGACAACTAATTTAGGGGGTACCGGTGTAAATCATACATGCCAGTCTATAAATAGAGTTACTTCAAATTATGTCTTCAACCCATTTAACAATTTAGTTTTAGGACTTGAACTTAATTTCTTTTTATCATGGAATGAGAATTTATTGATTGATTTGATAATAAACAAATAAATTTCAGTAATTTTTAATAAAACCCTTCTTTAGGTTTTAGAGTGTACACCTAAGAACAACAAAATGACAGTCGTACTTTCTCTATTATATCCAACCAAAACTTGACTTGAAATGCACGGCGCTTGGTGGCATTTCTTGTAAAAGAAAGTTCTAAGAAGGCATTTAATTGTTACTAATTTAACAGCATCAATCCTGCTACTTATAAAGCATTCGAATAGCATCGAGTTCATTACTAAAAAGCACTCTAGCATAGAATTATAAACTCATTAAGTACTTTACTAGCATTGAGTCAATCACTCATTAAATAATGAAAGAAATTAGTTAGATCAAGCATGAAGAACTCGTATGGCGTCGAACTCTTCACTCATAAAAAGTGCCTTTGTGAGTTTTCCAACTGTAGCCCGTTCATCTTTCCACTGTATCCATCTAAAAAACAATCACAGTATTTAACAAGAAAATACACACCATAGTAACAAAAAACAAATATATTTAAGAATGAAGATGGACTCGAATAATAATAAAAGTTTTAATCGTCAAAACTTAAAAATCCGCCAAAATATTTCAATAAATCCGGCAATCAATTGTTTCTACCTGAGAAAGAAGTAGTTCGTTTATTAAGCACAGATGGAGTTAGTGTATTGGCAAACAAAAGTTTATAATATAAGATTGCTATACTAATAAAAAAGAATAAAGTAAATTGATTTATTATCAAAGTATTTGAAAACAATTCTTTAGTTTTACATATAAATAATTGTTGTACCAAGTTTAATTCCAAGTATTTTTGGATTAAATAATTACGTATATGTATATAATTGTAAACCATAATTGTAATGTATTAATCTAATTAATTAATTTTATCTATGTTCCATGATTTTTATTAGCCTAAAATGGCTGATCAATTATAACTCAACAAGCTGAAGAGCCCGGTGCTGCCTGCGGAATTTTTTTTTAATTTCAAATTTTAAAACAAATATTTTCGATTTTTTTAGCCTATAACAGACTCCGGCCACCATTAGTGACCACGGAAAATTTCAGCTCAATCGGTCCAGCCGTTTGGCCGGCTATAAGCAACATACATATATATATATATATATATATATATACGATGTCTTGTTTTATTGTATAGATATATTTTTAAATCCTACTTTTTTCATAGTTTCATTTTTGATACATGGTCTTCAATTTTCAGTTTTTAAATTAAATTACATCTATGCGTAACTATTTATTCCAACGAAACTTTAATATAAATCCTGGTAATGATGACTATTTATAATTAAAACATATAAAATGCTTTCGAGAACCTTGATTATCAAATAAAATTTTTTTAAATTATCAAATCTAATGATCTGATGTCATTAACTACTATTCTCTATGGAAGAGTCGATGCTGTAGAACTTGATTGCTAGATTTTTAAAAATGATTTGGCGGATTTTTAACGAATTAACAATGTACATTTTTCATTATTTTCATCGTTTCATTTTTTATTCATTCCTAATGTCTGTCTACATTTATTTTTTCATTAACATTTGCCTGACCACTTATTCCTTCATCCTTAAATGTAATAATAACAATTGTAATCCAACCTATAAAGCATCTTGAATGCTGCTTGTGAAAGAGAAGAAGTATCTTGTTCAAATTGTTCAAGCTGACTCCAATTAAACATTAATCTGCTTCCGACATCCTTCCACCCCTTTCCCATTTGCTAAAAAATAATTAATCATAAAAAATTTAAAATCTCTAACTAATTCGAATTCACCCAAAAGGCTACAATTCAGAAATAATTAATAATTAATATTTTTTTATTCAAATAGTTGTTCTGTTTGCAAAGACGATTTTACCTTAGAAATTTGATCAATGTCGTCTTCTGAGAGAACTCGTTGGGATTTGTACAAAGGATAAAGGAGGTCTCGAGACGGTATTGGAGCCTACATAGTACATAAGATATACACTTTTAACTTTCTTAAGGATTTTATTGGACAATTACAGAGCTATATATATACACACAAAAGATCATGTGTCATGTCCGATTCACACTTTAAACCTTTGACTAATAAGAAATAATACAAAATAGGAATAGGAAATCGAAAAAAGGAATAGAAAATAGGAAACAAGAAATAGGAACTAAGAAATAGAAGAAAAGAGTAAATCGGAAAAAAGGAAATAGGAAATCGGAATGAAGTAGAAGGAAAAAAGAGTAAATCTGAAAAAGAAATATTAAAAAGAAATAAACCCAGTATACCTGGAGACAAGGTTGACCCTGACCTTGACCTGGCGCCAGGAAAGCGTGCTGACCCTGGAACCCAGCTGGCTGGTATCCGGTCACTTGAGTGAACGACGGACCTGAGTAAAAAATAAAAATAAAAATTGACAAAATTTAACATTTTTAGAAGAAGAACTATCACTCTGTTTCTAGCGAAATAACACTTAAAAAGTACAAATATGCGCGGTTTACTTAGTCCTCCCATTGAAGGTTCAGTCTAAAATCCGATAAATCATGAGAAGTTCGTGAATGATGCTAAGGTAAAAAAATAACATTTTGGAAAAATTAAATTCACTTCGTTCAAATTATTTAAGAAAAATTATAAAGATAAAAGTTAAAAAATCAAATGAATACTATTGTTTCCACAAGATGAGATTTTAAGTGTAATTACTGTATATACAGTGGAACATATAGAACTGTGGTATAGGAAGACGACATTTTTGCTGTCTTATGTGGGAGTAATATTTATAAAACGGGATTGCTCTACATGAGAAGATGGAATTTGAAGAAAATATTATCACTTCCTTAAAACCATTATTAGAATATAAAAACACAATAAAAATGTTTAAATTTGAAAAAAGGGATTGTTACCCTATTGTATATAGAATGTGGAAGTAATATTTATAAAAAGGAATTATTACCTAATTGTATATTGAATGTGGGAGTAATATTTACAAAAAGGGATTGTTACCTTATTGTATATTGAATGTGGGAGTAATATTTACAAAAAGGGATTGTTACCTTTTTGTATATAGAATGTGGGATTAATATTTACAAAAAGGGATTGATACCTTATTGTATATTGAATGTGGGAGTAATATTTACAAAAAGGGATACCTTATTGTATATTGAATGTGGGAGTAATATTTACAAAAAGGGATTGTTACCTTATTGTATATCGAATGTGGGAGTAATATTTACACAAAGGAATTGTTACCTAATTGTACATTGAATGTGGGAGTAATATTTACAAAAAGGGATTGTTACCTAATTGTATATTGAATGTGGAAGTAACATTTATAAAAAGGGATTTTTACCTAATTGTACATTGAATGTGGGAGTAATATTTATAAAAGGGATTGTTACCTAATTGAATATTGAATGTAGAAGTAATATTTATAAAAAGGATTGTCACCTTATTGCATATTGAATGTGGGAGTAATATTTATAAAAAGGGATTGTTACCTAATTGCATATTGAATGTGGGAGTAATATTTATGACCGTATTTCCCCCTTGAACAACTATTCTCTGTCCTTCCATCTCTTTCTGATAATAATAATAATAATTATTATAAATGTTTACTGCGGTGTAGTGTTATACTGTACTGCATATTGTACTGACACTGTATGTGTTTACAACACGCTGCACACTGCATACTGCATACTGCATGCTGCATGCTGCATGCTGCATACTGCACACTGCATACTGCATACTGCATACTGCATACTGCATACTGCATATAGCATACGGTATACCGCATACAGCACACTGCATACTGTATACTGTATCTGTACACTCTAAACAACTATATTTTATATATACTATATACAGCAGTATGGTGTGCACAGCTGAAAATATACTCAATAACCTGAGCTGATAACAGTTAACCGTCTATATCCGAACCCCACATTTTTCAAAATGATTTGTTCAAATTTACAATTTTTGCAGAAATTTTCCCTGAAGAACAGAAATATATTTTTTTTTCAGTCAATGCATAGTTTTAAAGATAGAGACAGTGGTCGATATCGACCGCTTCGTTAACATGGGATTTTGAAATGACCAATATCGACCGCTCCAAAATATGGCAAAGTTTATAATTTTCTATTAAAAGTAAATAAATCATAGTTACAAGCGTTAAAACAGCTTGTTTGTAGTTTGTAGTTCAAATATCTTGACACACGGAGGCCTAAAAGAGGGGTGGGGGCCAATTACCCCCCCCCCCCGCTCATAACATTACTTAGCCCTCCTCCCATTGGACTGGTGAAATCTAGGGGGTTTCAGACCCCAAGGGGTTCTGAGCCCCATCCCCACTAGAAATAAAGTTTGAAGTCCCCTCTGGACAAATTCCTGTAAACGCCCCTGTTAGGATTATATCTTGTAAAACTAGATTTCACAAAATTTAGTCTAAGTTTACATTTACCGCACAGAAATTATTCATTTTCTCAAGTACAATCTCATTAATCATGTTTCCCTCCCATCAAAAATATGCTTGCACTTGGTTTCTGGGTTTACAAGTTACTGATTTACTTTCTGCATATGTAAGTACAGGTGTATAGAGTTCGTATGCTTTGTCTACTTGTCTTTAAACCCATAAAACAGATGTTTATAAAAAAAACCAGGGGTCCATATAATTCCATCTAATACAATCCCAAATGTTTATTGATATTAGGGACAGAAATTAAACATCTAAAGTGTTTATTTTTCTGTATATCAGAATTTATCTCCTATATTGATTACTGATATTTATATATTTTAACACCCCAAATGCACTAAACATTTCTAATGTATAATACATATACACAAGAAACTTGCCAAAGTTCACAATCACATAGAAAGTGTATTTGTATGCCAACTAAATGTACTTTCAACCCCGATCCCATTTAGGAACATAAATAGAATTATATGGACAACTGTAAAAAACATATTAAAAGTACGGTTAATGTTAATCTTTCTTAAACATACTTAAAGAAATCAACTGACTGTGTTACTAAAAGCTGGCTAAAAAGTAAAGACATTCCAAAATATTATTTTATTTTTTTTCTGATAATATTAGAATATAATTTAGAAAATAGACCTTATAATATTAGAATATAATTTAGAAATTGGACCTGATAATATTAGAAAATAGTTAAGAAAATAGACCTTATAATATTAGAGAATAGTTTAGAAAATAGACCTGATAATATTAGAGAATAGTTTAGAAAATAGACCTGATAATATTAGAGAATAGTTTAGAAAATAGATCTGAGCTGAAAACTTTAGAATAAGATATCCTTAATCCCAAATGCTTAATCTGATTATCCAATGGACACACTTTTGATTTTCTTCTTAATCCTCTTTTTTTATATCCCTACTGTATAAGAGTTAAGTTTGAATGCAATTACAGATGCAATGCTATATCGATTGGACTAATATCCGATTGAACTAAAGTCAGCTGTTCCCAAGCCGGCTTTAAGAGCATTTAAACAAATATAAATTCAATCATGTTAATATGAACTTATTAAAAACATATTTTATCACATTTGAGGACTATAGCAATTTTGAATGATAGTATTAATAAACATTAATTCAAAACTTATGTTCGTTGAATCGATCATTAGTTAAATTGGTATGACACCATCTACACCAGAAATGCGCAAAAAATAAAACCGGTTTTTCAAAAGTTAAAGAGGGCATCTCTTATCTAAAGAAGTTGCTTTTCTCTTTTACTTAATAAGTTTATTTTCAAGCTTTTCCCTTTTACTAAATAAGTTTACTTTCAAGCTTTTCCCCTTTAAACAATAAGTTTATTTTCAAGCTTTCCCTTTTACTTAATTTAAGTTTATTTTCAAGCTTTGGAGTAATTCTTTCCTTATAATAACAAGATCAAAATCACAGATGATTGCTTAAATGTCGTCTTCATATTTTATAATTTTATTGGTCCCACTTAGGTTAAGAAAATAGACCTGCAAATACGGGAACATCATTGTGTATTTCTGACTGTGTAAACTTAATCTAATGGAGGCTAGAATAAGACTGACAGTGACTCAGAGTATAATATGAGGAATCACCTTATCAAAGGTATTACTTAGGTACGTTAGGTTTACTCAGTACATTGACCTAGTAATGTTACATCGTCTATACGCAATTTCCCCCCTACTGAACTTTCCGACCTACTGCAATATCGGACCTAAGCCAGCTGCTTATTTTTGTACTATTTGAGGGTTAGGTTAGACTAAGACAATTTCTTGGCCGAGCACTGCGGCTAGGACAGGCTAGGGGGCCGGGCGCTGCGGCCACAAGTCCATATAGTAGCTGGAAAACCACGTGCTAGTATGTCGGATGTTTAGTATAGCGGATTTGGCGAAGGTCTGGAGTATAGCGGATTTGCGTAGGTCGAAAAATACACCACCCATTGTCCCACCCTACTTCCATAGAGTATGGTAAAAAACATGACGAACAAGAACACGGTCATTTTGATCATTTCCTCCAAAGTTCATAGATGGGAACTACCCCCCCCCCCTCTCCCCCAGATAAATGAAAGCTATTTAGATCCTTATGGGATACTCAACCCCAAACAATATTGCAATTTTTTGTGTGGGGTTCTAAAAAATATGGAATATCAAAAAGAATTGATGTAAAAAGGTATCTTGACTTCAATTCTATTTTAAGAAAAATTTAATTTAACCCAAGACGAAATAAGAACTTTATCTTGGGGTTTCTGCATTTTTAACAAATAACTCTTTTGCATGAGACACACAGATTTATACTTAATCTTAAAAAATACTGTAATTTGCTTGGTCATTTCAATTATTTTCAATGCTTTGAAGTACAGTTTCTCCTAATTTTCTTAACCTTACAAAAATCTAAAACTTTATAATGTCACTAGATGGACAATCACATTTATCTTAAATTTAATATCTTATAATATTATTTGTATACAAAAACCTTTTTCCACTCAGAGCCGGAAATGTAAGAGACTTTTTAAGTTCTTAACATTTAAGTGAACATTTTTATAGAAGAATTAGAAACATATAAGAATCGTATGAAATTATATTTTTTTTTACAAAAATGTTAAATCTACAAAATTGCGTCATCCCAACCACAAAACCCAAGTTCCTGATTTTAATTTATGAGTCATTTGTATACAATAACCTTTTTCAACCCTGAGTTCGCAACGAAAGACGAGAACCAATGAAAGGAAAGTTATTTCAGAGGTACTGCAGTACCGCAGTGTACTGTCTTTGGGCGGAAAAGTAAACAAGACGGATGGCGAGGCCTAGCATGGAATCCATTTTCACAAAAATAATCTATGAAGTATTCTGGTCTTAGGAAACTATTATGTGAATTTTCAAAATTAAATGTTTTTATCCTCCTGGGAACACTGATGCATCTTTTCTTGTTTACAAATTCCGCCCAGAGAGAACTAGTTTCAATATGTACACAGACTATACGCGACCGCAATTAACTTTCCTTGCACTAGTACCTTGACAAGAACTAAAGATCGAAAACCGGTTTATTAAATTGAATAATGAAATTTTGTGAAAATGTTTTCTTATTTTAATACTAAGTATTTATTTTCATTTCTCAAATTAAAATCTACACAAATGTATCCGCTCCAAAAAGGAAACTTGGTAGTTTAGTTCATCAAAACCCTGTCTTTTATTACCGGCTCTGGGTTCACAGTGTGCACTGGTCAGTTTAACTACTTGCAATTTTATAACCTAGACGAGGGAGGGAGGGATATACAGCCTTGAACCTCAATGTTTTTTAACGACAAAGGAGAGAGGAAGATTTTGTCATGAACCTCACAATATTTTCTTATTGCGAGCGAGGGAGGGATATGCCGCCATGCACCTCAAAATAAAGAATTATGATGAGTAAAGGAGGGAAATGCCCTTAATTTACGTTAATCTATATTTAAGTTAAATACAAGTCTATGTTTGTAAACATATATATATTATTTTTAAATACTTGGGACATAAAATGTCGTCATACAACAATGAGTTTGGCCCACTTTAGTATCTTAATAGGGTTAAGAATAATAATACGATCAAATCTTTTTTCAAGATGAAAAATTAACGGATTTTTGTTTAATAATAGTTCTAAAATTTCACTTACAAAATGTTTTCATTTAGGAGTTTCATTTCTATACCTAAAACCAATACAAATACCCCCCCCCCCCATGATTACCTTTGGTAACCCCTTGGGCCATATCAAATAACTCAATGTTAAAATTAACAGATTTGGTCTAAATAAGAAATTTAAACTTTTAAAATTTCAATTACAATTTAGTTTTCCTCTAGTGCACTTCATTCATACATCTAAAACCACTACAAATACCCCTCCCCTTAATACCTTAAACGAGTATCGCTGAAAGAAATTCCCGAGTTTCCTTTTTGAGGTCTCAACATTTGTGTCAAGTTTGATTTCAGAGATTCCAAATATAATGGAGAAGGAGAATATGACGAAACGAAATAAAACTATATTTCATAACAAAAATATTGTTATCCACAAAACTGCCTACCCCCATTCGTGAAACCCGGGTTCCAAAACTGGTTTTCATAAACATATGCTGTCTCAAGTTTTGGGTTCTGGGGCCTTATTCTTTTCAAATAACTCAATCTCTGCAACTGTTTTACAGTATTCATGTTAAAATTTGACAAATTTTGCAAATATTTGGCCTGGAAAAGGAAAAGGTGTTGGGTGTTTTATACATTCAGAAAATAATTGTTTTTGAAACTTTGTTCAGTTTCGTAAAACAAAAAAAGTAATTTTCACCATCTGCCCTTTTTTGGCCCTAGAACTTTAGATTCTTAAATTCTCAAGAAAGTGAGGTGGCCCTTCCCCCCCCCTCTTTGACCTTCATTAAGTTGCCTGAGTGGATATAGAGATCAAACACTGTAAATAAAATTTTTTTTCTTAAGAACTGGTCTATCTTTTATTGCAAATTAAAAATTTATTTGTTATTGTTGTTGTATACAGTGATAACTATAAAACTTTGAAATAGGATGACGACTTACTTAAAGGGAGTGTTCGCAAAAAAATAAAGGTGGTATAGGCTTACGGCGAAACATTATTGATGGTGGTCGCTACTAAACTTACATCTGTTGATTCCATAAGGAGGAAATGGTTAAAAACTACTCATACCGAAGAAAGTAGCATCCATAAAAATTCAGAAAGTTGGAATATTTGATTCGGATTGTAAAAAAATCATTTTCATTCAAAACAAATCATTCAGATAATACAACCTTTAATCATCGATAATTTTTCGACGAACTCATATATAGATATTTCATAATATTTTTTATTTGTTTTATATACATTGCCGATATTAGTTGGCCGCCAGGTGTCTGCTCTCGAGGCTCTGAATGATTCCACATGGCCTAGCGGAAAAAATCGTCGTTTTAAGTGCATTGAATATAATACAGATAAAAATATTGATTATTATAGGTTGCAATTTCTGAATGATTTGTTTGGAATTAAATTGATTTTTTACGATCCGAGTTGTATGTTTCAACTTTCTGAATTTGCATGGACGTTACGTTTTTCGGTGCGAGTTGTTTTTAACAATTTTCTCCTTATCGACGCAACATAGATAAAAGTTAGATCAGTAGCGATAAACATCGATAATTTTTCGCCGTAATCCTTTAACCCCTTTAGTTTTTCGCGAACACTCCCTTTATGTATAAATGGAGTTATTACAAAGCAAATAGTTTTACAAGACACTTATTTATTCATTAATTAAGATAAATGGGCCTGTTTGCACTGGTCTATCTGTATCCCATGCTAATTGGACTTTTTTAAAGTTATAACTTGATTCTAAAAGTCGGCTCAGAGTTTTCTGGTTCTTCTTTTTAACCAAGTTTATCTGTTTTTTTAACCATGCAAAACCATGTGTAAGCTGTTAAAAAACGCTAACTAAATTTTAATGAAATTTTCTAATGTTCATAAAAACAATTACAGTTTTTGTTTTTAGGAAAAAAAAAGAGAATTTTCATATTCTTTAATTTTTAAAACAAAAATTTCACTTAAAGGAATAGCCAACGTAATTTCAAGTTTTTCTTCATTTAAAGATTCAAAATAGTGCCCATTAAACCCTCGTCCCAGCAAATTACTAGGTTATCCTTGTTTTCATATCTAAAAACTGATTATTTTTAATTGCAGTTTTTTTTTAAATTGCTTGGAGAGACACGGAAGTAAGTTCAGAAAATTGATTATTTAAAAAAATGTATGTCTATTTAAACGGACTTAAAGTGACCTTCCAAGCAAAGATGGCAATGCCCGATTTTCAAAGGTACCCAGCAAAACTATGTCTGATCAAGACTGAATTAGATATTAATATGTTTAAAATTTGAAGACTGATAGACTCGAATTATGTTAAAATTTAATGAACTATCAGAATCTACTTTAAAACCCAGAAAAAAAAACTCAATTTCTTTCACGTTATAATTAAAGATAAAGGTTTCATGGGTACCGTTGTGAATCAGACATTGCTTGCATCACTTGAAATTATGCTTACTGTCCCTTTAAACCGGAAATAGACGATATATTCCTCGTTGTGAATCGACACGATAGAGAACTGATTTAAATCAAGCCATATGTAACGTTTACAATTGATGGGCACAAAATATTACGTCTATACAGGTCTTTTCATGTTAAAAATGAAGAAAATACTATTAAAATAGACAGAGTGGGTAGCCGGTAGGTGAAGTGTGAGGGTCCGAACAGCCCCCCCCCCCTCGCCTGCTGGAATTTAAACTTCCTACTAATCCTAATTTGTAATTTAGGGAATTCCCTTATCCATGGTCTATCCGTGCGTCATTTGAAAAACTTGTCTTTAATTCAAATATGCACATGTGCTGGGGTTCGGTGCTCCATGGTTACACCGTTATATACATATGTTTACATTAAAAAGTGTTGTTTTTTTATGTTCGAGGTTTTAATGAGAGTTTAAGTGCTTGAGAAAAAAGGAACAGACAAAAATAAAATGTTTAAAGAATTTGTAAGTTTCTACAATCTATTTTTTTTGCAAAAAAAAGGTGGAAAATGTTTCCTTGTAGGGTAAAAGATTCTTCTGTCGGCCTTTTCCCTCAATACTGTGATTAGGAAGACGACTGTTACTGTTAGGCTCAAATTATGATTTTAATGAAAAGAAAACACCGCAATTGTGCAGTGTTCCCATTTTACTTGACAAGTTTAATTTCAACCTACCATGGTAAAAACTAAATTTGCTTTACAGTAAAATCAAATATACAGAGTTACCCACAATAGATCAAAGTTTAATGACGACCTGAAACTCCTTAGGTACGCAGGTCTGAAGATTGAATTTGGCTTTCTGCTTTCAATTTATTTTAAAAATATGCTTAATGATTGTAAATGAAAGTGAAAGAAAATGTTTCCACTGCAGAAAAACATGAATGTGACATCAAATGATAAATAAATTTCGTACAGTCGTTTCTGAAGTCTCTTGTATTGTGGTTAACCCCTGTACCTATGTACTCTATGTACCTACTAAGTGTCCCAATAAGCAGGAGAGTTAAATGATGACTTCTGTCTTTATTCCACGCAGCATTATTTCATAAACACAAGTTTAGCAGTGTCCCAGTTTGTCAAAAAAAAATGGAAACTACTAGTCTCGGAAACTACTAGTAAGAACGCTCATACGCTATAATTTGTAATAATGAACTATCATAAATAAAACCCGATTTTCAAGTCGTCTTTTTTTATTCCCATGATTATTGGGACACCCTGTAGCTTAAATATTTGTTTTACAAAAAAAACTGTTGATTACCTGGAAAGCCTGTTTTTGGACCTCTTCTTTAATATCTTCAACTCTTGAATCCATTCTTTCTTTCTTTTTTCCAGCTTCTTCTTCTGCTTTATTATCTTCAGATCTTGAATCCATTCTTTCTTCCTTTTTTACAGTTTCTTCTTTTTCTTTATTTTGTTCTTCAACTTCTTCTTTCAGTTTATCTTCTTTTTTCTCTTCTAAAGTCTTTCAGACAAAAATTCAGAGTAAAATTTCATTTAAAAAAAGACCAGACCCGTTTCCTCTTAAGATGCAATAGGTCATTCAAAAACTCATATCTATCTGTTATAGTAAGGATTTGACTATTAAGAACCCCCCCCCCCCTCCCCAGCACTTCTTCATGGCGAAAAAAGTTTAACCCAGACCAAAAACGTGAAGTAAACATCTATTCTGAAGTCTACATATTTTACTTTGATTTGGAAAAACATTAACACTAAATTAACATATTTTCTTTTTTATGTAACATTTTTTGATTATTATACTGTCATAAATTTTGCAATATTAAAAATATTGATAAGAATAATAAAGACAGAAAATACTAACACTTACTAGTTGGACGAAAGGAACCGCGTCTCCTTCTATCTTAGAATCTCCCATCTACATAATTAAAAAATATTTTTTAAATAATTCGAATTTAAATTAAGATATCCATAATATTCTCAATAAAAATAAATTACTAATTAAATTGCGCTTTCTAAGTCAAGAGACTTGCGGATTTCTGCTACATAAAAAATAAAGAAAATTATTAAATAAAGGTTTAAAGATCTGAAAGCTATTGTACATTTGATACTCTATCTATCTTGTAAATGATACTAGTTTTTAACACAAATTAATTATATTTATATGTCAGAGTTAGGTAAGGTTAAGACAATGTGTGGACACCACAGCAAGCACAGGCGAGGGGTCGAGCACCGCGGCTAGGACTTTAACCATGTGTCGGATCATGTCCTAGAGAAAGATTTTACGACGCCCCCCCCCCGGCTCGGCCACCTAGCCTGTCCTAGCCGCAGCGCTCAGCACAGAAATTGTCTTAACCTAACCTAACACTAAAATAATACGAAATAACTTAAAATTAATGGTTAAATGTACAAAATTTATAGGAGGGGGGGGGGGGAAGAGGGCCGGATCCAAAAATCGTATATTAGGACGGACCCCAAAAATCGTTCTCTATGAATTATTATGACATTTAACAATTAAACTACTTCACATCATAGTTTATTTAATTAAGATAATACATTTTACTTACTATTACCTGTAATTAATTGGACTTCTAGATGCATCCGAATTAAACCTGGAATTTCTTGATATAAATGTTGAATCAATAATTCTTGTTTATATTTGCTTGATAATTGATTGGCTTCGTTTCACGCTTTTGTTCACTTTGTTGACAAATATTTGTGTGAACAGCTGATCAAATCTCAAGGTGAGCACAGTACAATAAAGATAGATAGATAGGTAGATATATGCTCGTATAGATAGATAGATAGACAGGTAGAAATGTAGATGTTACAATATCAACCAGACTAGCCCCTTACCGATACTAAAAATTAGTTGACATTTTTTATGATTTAAACAAATACAATTCAAGTTCTTATAAGACGAAAATGAGCTTTTTTCTTAAAATTATTCTTTTTTTCACTTGCCTAAATTTCAAGGTTTTAGAAATAAGTAATGATCTACTTGTCTTATAAAGGAATAAAAAGTTATCATGCATACTAATTGCGCCAAAATTAATTTAATTATATTTTTCTTAAAGTGCTACGTAGTACAACCACAAACTGCAATATTTTATAAAAACTTTTCAATCATTAGGTTAGATTTCTCAGTAGGTCGGTTTTGACAGCACTAACCTTTCAAGACGACATTTAAAATCGTGAAATCCGAGAAAAAAATTGAAAGTTTTGACACAGTACACAGTTTTCTATTTAATCATCTACTGCGCAAATCCTAGAACAGAGCTCTCAATGTTTCTCTCTAAAATCTCTAAAATCTCGTCAATGTGAAGAGGGCTCGGTCAGCCTTTAACCAGACAATTTACGAACTTGTGAAGAACAGAATTTAAGAAAAATCTTTTTCAAAATGGTGACGATCAATGCATTACTCATGTTATTAGTAAGACTAAGAACTGTTGTTTAAGTCAGCTTATCATGTGATGATGTAATTATTATGTAATTAACACATTCTTCAGTTTAAGAGTTAAGATTAGAGACCAGCAGAATTTAAACCAAAGCTTGTAGTTAAGCTATTTAAACGATTGTTATAACTAAACAACGCGAATATTTATTTTGATGCGTTTTTCTTCTACTATTCAAAACCCTTGCTAAAGGTACAGGTAATTTCCTAGTATACGATTTTTGGACCCCCCCTCCCCCTCCTATCAATTTTGTATATGGTTATCTTTGGTCATGTGGCCGCAGCGCCCGGCACCTTAGCCTGTCCTAGCCGCGGCGCTCGGCCCCTTAGCTTGTATTAGCCGCGGTGCTCGGCCCCTTTGCTTGTCCTAGCCGCAGCGCTCGGCCCAGAAATTGTCTTAACATAAGCTAACCCTTATCTAGCCGAAAGTTCTTATTTTCTCGGTTTTTCAGAGACTTTTATTGTTCATTAATATGTTAAGTTGTTAAAAAATGTAGTATTTTTGATCCTACGTCTAAGATGAAGAGTGAGCTCTAAGCCTGTCAAGATGAAAAGTGAGGCGGGTTCTAGTAAAGCTAGCTCCCAGCCTAGCCAGGTAAAGATCTTAATTCAAGTTTTTATCAGTTTTAGTATCAAGTAATAAACAGATAATGCTACCTTATTCATTTTTTTCCCTTAAAAATTTAGTATTTCCCCCAATCAACAAGAAATGTTTTGCTAAGCCCTAAAAAATAAATAAAAATATTATATAGTGTTTAATCATCCCCTCCCCCCCCCCCACTATATGAAAACCGTTTTCTAGGATTTATTCGCTGATTTTGAGAAAATAAATGCTTTTTTGGGTTCAAAGTATTCCAAAAGTATACCAGAAGAATGAAACAAAATTTCCTTTGATGTCCTACTTTTCATTTTTTTTCATCCACGGCTTCAAAATTATCTCACTTTTTGAAAACAAATAACCCTGAAAAACGATAATTTTTGAAGAGTGCGAAATGGTTTTTAAATTGTTAAGATGCGACTCAAGACGGATAATTAAAATCAGTATTGAATCGCATCTCAACCACGTTCGTTGTTTATTCTGAAAGTCTGCCTTCGTCAAATTTTCTTATACAAATCATCCCCCCTGGATAAATTATTTTTTTCCTCTTTTTCGGAGCGTATTTTTTAAGGATATTCGCTGGATTTAGGGCGATAAACCAATTTTTTCACCCCCCCCCCCCACCTAAATCGTATGGAGGGAAGGGGGGGGGGGTGAATAAATCTACCAAATATATTCCCTGATTTATCCTTGATGTTGTATTATGTTGTCTAGGTGTCAGGGAAGGTGAGTCGAGGAGAGAAACAGAAAACCGGGTTTCTACCAACCCCTTGTTTCCCAGGGATAAACCGGTTTGTAGAGGTAAACAATTTTATTATTTACAAGTTTGGAACCCAGCTTTGCCTAGAAAATAAGATTTTCTCCTTTAAGTCTACTCACTCAACAAAGAAATTATAACCGAGCTAAGAACATTCCTGTGGTTTGACCGAGTTACCCTATTAAAATTGAAGGCTCATCGGGCAAGGGGTTTTTGAGTTATGATCAGATATCCAAACAAACAGAGATTACTACTTGATATACATCGGTTAATTTTATTTATGAGAAGTTGAACAGGGAAGACTAGTTCAACTATTACTCTTTTGCACTCTCGGCTACTCTTAAAGTAAATAAACTATCTTAACCTAATTCAGCTTCTTGTTATTCCTTAATTCCAACATACCAGTTGTTTTTCTTATTTTTCAAGTGATCTGATATCAATTTCTAATCTAATATTTAAGGAAAAAAGTTTTGAAAAACTAATAGCAACACATTTTTAACATGATCAAAAAGATTCAAGTTAATATGTAGTAAATGTCTTGCTCCTAAAACTGCTCTCTCTCTCTCTCTCTCTCTCTCTCTCTCTCTCTCTCTCTCTCTCACTCTCTCTGTCTTTGTAACTGAAATGATAAATTTTGATAATCATATATCTAAATTTTTTACAATTTTTTTTGTTGAATTTACATAGGTTTAGTTGTGGGTGATGCATAAATATATTTAAATAGTTGAGCATTTAGTAAATATTTCCAAAACCTTGTTCAAGAACAATGCTAAGTAAGAAATGGGCAAAACGTTTCTTATCATAAAAGGCCAAAAATTAAAAATTCGATGCAGTGGATATTTTTTAATAAAAGTTTTTTTGAGCAATTACATTTCCAATATTTTTTAGCATAAAAAACCGTCTTGGTTAAAAGAATGAATTGACTTTTTCATGATAGTTGTGTTTTGACTAGATGAAAGTAATTGTAAATTTTGTTGCAATAATTTAAGAAACTATGGCTACTAACATTCTAAGATATCTAAATACTAACAATTAGTAATTTACTTGTCATCCCTATATCCATAGGAACAGTAACAAATTAAACACAAGAAAACAATAACATAAATATTTTTGATCATAATACCGGCAAAATCAGTTGTTTTTACACTGGGTCAATCACAGATTATATAGAGAGGAATAAAGGATTTAGGAAGCTGTAATAATACAAGAATTTTTGTAAATGATTACACCAAAGTGATCCCTCAAAGATCCACAGAGTCAAAATATCTAGGGTTACTGAGAGACAGTAAAGTACACTTTATGAATGCAATGTAGAAAAGTGTCAAGGTTAATTACAACTTCAAAATCTTTTTCCAACTTTTATAATTTGTCAAGTTTTGTATTCATTTCTGCTCCTCGGAGAAAAATAAATAATTTGTATTATCTAATAAACCTCTGATCCTAGATAATCAAGAAAACTTGAGAAAAATAAATAATTTGTATTATCTAGTAAACCTCTGATCCTAGATAATCAAGAAAACTTGAGACCAGGGTGAGACATTTATTTGATTTTATGAGTATTTTAGTTGTATTCCTCTCTGTAAATATGAATCATGTGTTGGCGGAGAGGGGGGGGGATTAATGTGTATTGAATCAATGAAAACTATATCCGGTATGATAACAAAAATATTAAATAATATAATCTGCAAGAATGCTGCAAGGGTGGAGAAATTGAGTTTTTGCCACAAACTCGAATTTTCTTATCCCTTTATCTTTGCAACCTGATGGTGTACAGCTTTGAAATTTAAAACTTAAGACTATTTGATCTATCAGAATTCATAGTTAGAACTATCAAAGGTTTACAATTTTGGGCTGCACAGATATAAATTAGAAAATCAGAGTTTGTTGTAAAAAAATTATTCCTTTAATACATGTTTGGCGACTAGTCAGAAATAAAAACATGATTTAAAAAATAAATAACAGTGCTTAGAATTAATTCTATCTTGCTACAAATCCAAATAAAGAGAATCCAAATAAAGAGAATCTATTTGTAACTTTCTCATGGAAAAATTTAAGCTTCCAACTATACAATTTTGTGTGCATGCTCATTGCTCATACCTGGATCCAGATCAATGAAAATGTAAATAATTGGATATAAACAAAATTTTAAAAAGCACTGCTAAAAAATGAACAGATATAAACGAGAACTGAGAAAACTAGTGGATCTTGAAATAGATATTGCAAAAGATGTCTAAAATAATTATCTGCAATCAATAATTAAGATATTTCCAATAGATATCTAGGATATCTGCAAAAGATATCTAGGATATCTGAAAAAGATATCTAGGATATTTGCAAAAGATATCTAAAACATCTCCAATAGATATCTAAAATATCTCCAATAGATATCTAATTATCTCCAATAGATATCTAAAATATCTCCAATAGATATCTAAAATATCTCCAATAGATATCTAAAATATCTCCAATAGATATCTAAAATATCTCCAATAGATATCTAAGATATCTCCAATATATTTCTAAAAAATTTCGATATATATCTAAAACATCTGCAATAGATTTCTGATATATCTGCAGTAAATTTTTAGGATATCTGCAATATCTAGGATATCTGCAATAAATATCTACGATATCTGCAATATCTAGGATATCTGCAATAAATATCTACGATATCTGCAATATCTAGGATATTTGCAATAAATGCAATATCTAGGATATCTGCAATAAATATCTACGATATCTGCAATATCTAGGATATTTGCAATAAACATCTACGATATCTACAATAAATATCTAGGATATCTGCAATATCTAGGATATCTGCAATAAATATCTACGATATCTGCAATAGACATCTACGATAACTAAAATATCTATATCTGCAATAAATATCCAGGATATCTCCAATAGATTTCTTAGATAACTACGATATCTAGAATATCAGGTTTACTAAACGATTTAAATAAAGATACATCATACTTATATTTGATGTGAATCTAATATATAATGCTACAAGAGGGAAACTAATCACGATATTTTCAATAAACGACCTGGGGCCAAAAGTTTGCCTAATTACACCCCAAAAAAAAACAAGATAATTGGCCTGGAATAAGTTTTCTATGTTCTTTCTACGGTGTAATGGTCTTTAAAATCTTTCTACGCATTTGTGAATTATATTATTGAATTCTAACCAACATTATAGTTTAATCTAGCGCAATCCTAAGACAAATTGTTACATCCCATTCAAGATATATCCCCTGTCTTAATATAGCCCCTGTCTAGATATATCCCCTGTCTTGATATATCCCCTGTCTTGATATATCCCTTGTCATGATATATCCCTTGTCTAGATATATCCCCTCTCAAGATATATATACCCTTTCTAAATATATCCCCTGTCTAGATATATCCCCTGTCTTGATATATCCCTTGTCTTGATATATCCCCTGTCTAGATATATCCCCTGTCTAGATATATACCCTTTCTAGATATATCCTATGTCTAAATATATCCCCTGTCTAGGTATATCCCCTGTCTAGATATATCCCTTGTCTAGATATATCCCCTGTCTAGATATATCCCTTGTATAGATATTTATCTAGATATGACAAATAATCTTTGGCAAAAAAGTGATGCATTAGAATTAGAAACATCTTTTCAAAATTTGAAACTATAGATCACTTTTAATCTTGTCACAGCCGAAACCAATTTCCCTAAAAACCCTCAACCATCGTTTAACTCTTAATATTTAACAATTTAAAAGTTTTCTGTATTAATTTGGTAAATCTACTCCTGATCCTTCACAGTGTTTAATAGTGTTTTCTCCAGTTCTGTATCCTGAAGATCATTGCTTGTATACTTCTCCGTCTTGGAGTAGTCAGAACTCAACCTGGATCAATAATATACATAGTTTTATACCACAACCTTTTTCTCCGTCTCCTCCTTTTCCGGATCAGGAAGGATTGTCTCCGGTTCTGTTTCCTGAGCGTAGATCAGTTCCGAGCTCGGAGATTTGTACAACCTGAGAAAATAAACGGATAGATAAATCCGGTTACAAAGGTAGAAATGAGATAAATCTGGTTTCACATGTAGAAATTAGATAAATCCGGTTACAAAGGTAGAAATTAGATAAATCTGGTTACACAAGTAGAAATTAGATAAATCCGGTTACAAAGGTAGAAAGTAGATAAATCTGGTTGCACATGTAGAAATTAGATAAATCCGGTTACAAAGGTAGAAATTAGATAAATCCGGTTACAAAGGTAGAAATTAGATAAATCTGGTTCCACATGTAGAAATTAGATAATTCTGGTTTCACAGGTAGAAATTAGATAAATCCGGTTACAAAGGTAGAAATTAGATAAATCCGGTTACACAGGTAGAAATGAGATAAATCCGGTTACAAAGGTAGAAATTAGATAAATCTGGTTACACATGTAGAAATTAGATAAATCCGGTTTCACAGGTAGAAATTAGATAAATAAAAATTATATTAGATAAAATATTAGACTAGATAATTATTATTTTCTTTTCAATAGCTCTTCAAGAGAGGAGCCATGATTAGAAACATATAATATTTGAATCCGATATGCAATTTACGTTTGTTTGACGTCAATGAATCCGGTTACACACCGGGAAATTAGATAAATCCGGTAACACAGACAGAAATAAGATTCAAAATGTTAGTTTTAGATTAAAGATCTTCATTCTTTATCCTGTGTAAAAAAGGGATTAGTAATTAGTAATAATCATGCTAGGAGTTTATTTGTCATGAAAGCTTCCCAAATCTGCAATGTTTAATGAATCAACCTATTTAAAATACAAATTCTCAATAAAGAATATTTCCCAGATTGCATTTATGTTTTTAAGGTTGACTTTGCGGCAAAACTTTGGCCTGGGAAAAGAAACCGTAATAAAGAATTCCGGGTTAGTTCTCTTCATAGATCATTGATGAAATAAACCTAATTAGTTCTACTCTGTAGAGCAGAGTAGTTGCAATCCCATCCTTCCATTCAATTCCTTCTTCATTTCACAAAACTTGGATTTTAAGAACTAGAACCAGAAACCATTTTTTTTAAACGTTAAAATTAAGAATAAAGACTTAACATGCGTTTTTCGCAAAAATAAAAATAAAAATAAAAATACAAAAATATATGTATCTTTAATGGTAAAAATATTTAAAAATATAAAAAAATATATATATTAGGCTCTTAGGGCGCTTCGCGCCTATCTTCTTTTTCAATTGAACATATTTTTACTTTCATTTTTGTACTTTTTGTAAAACAAAAACAAAAAAGTTCGCGGATTTCATAAAAAAAATTTGGTGGATTTTTAAAATTTTATGAAAATCGAATTTTGTTTCAGGCAAAATTTTTCTAATTTTGATAATCTATAAACCTTCCCTGGTGTCATGAGAGGTCCCACACAAATGTTGGCTTGATCGGTTCAGCCATTTTGACGTTTATTGGATAAAAACAAACAGACAACATATAGATGATGTATATATCTTTAGTAGTAACATCCGTTTATGGTTATAATAAAAAAGTAGTGGGAAAAAGTCTATGATAAAAAGAATATGACTTTTTAATGGACTTGTACTTTCATTTCAGATTTCTGGTGATTTTATTTCACAGGACAGACTCTTCTTACAAATACTTTCTTTCTAATATCTTTTTCAGCTTTAATGTGTTTTTGTGTTTCTTCAAATTATGCTTATATCATGTTCTTTCCAAATCCAAATATTATTGTAGTTAGTATTCCTTAAAAAATTGTTTTAAGTTCCTCCAAAATAAATAAAATCCCCCAAAAAATGAGAGAGATAGCATTGAATTTAGTTTTTAAAGCAAATATCCAAAAAAGCATGATGATTGCAGTATTTCTACTTTAAAGGGAGTGTTCGCGAAAAATGATAGGGGGTATAGGCTTACGACGATAAATAATTGCCTATGGTCGCTACTGATCTTATTTTCTATCTGTATTGCGTCATACTGAAGAAGTAGCGTCCATACAAATTCAGAAAGTTGCAACATTCAACTCGGATCGTGAAAAAAATCAATTTAATTCCAAACACATCATCCAGATATTACAACCAACAATCAACGATAATTTTTCCACGCATTTGTATATAGTTGATACTTCATAATATTTTTTTTTCATTTTTTATGATCTGAAAGTTACTAATGTAACATTTATTCCTGTTTCGAGGATTTTTGATAATAAAGACGACAGTCTCATATTTTCCAGGAATGTTCGAAAATCCAGCAGCAGCGAAGTATTATTTAAAATATCAAAAATATCAAAAAATATCATGATCTGAATGATTTGTTTGGAATTAAATTGATTATTTTACGATCTTCAGTATAAGTCGTTTTTAACAGTTTTCTCCTTATAGACGCAGCAGATAGAAGTAAGATTAGTAGCGATCAAAAGCGCTTATTTTTCACCGTAAGTCTATAGTCTATACCCCCTTTCATTTTTCGCGAACACTCCCTTTCAGGTCGTTATCGGAGTCTAATATTTTCTTATGACTACTGTATTCTTAAATATTATTTTGTCAAATTATTATTCCTGTTTTAGTGTTTACGCGAGTGAAAACATTGTTCATCTGTTTATACGGTAAACCCAATACACTATAGTGCTTTCAAGCTATCAAGTCCTGTCTGGATACCATCAAACATAGCCTTGAATTTGATATCTCATATAACATATTAAACTTGTGATTTGGGATAAATTTTTACATCATGTAACTCAGATAATATAGATTTCAAAATTTATATATTTACAATATATACTTCTATATATTTACAATATATATAAATATCTGTACCTGACTCCGAAAAGAAATGCTATGATTGAGAGTCCCTTGCAGCAAGCTGTCAGACTCATAATAAAGGAACTAAGGAGGAGAACTCATTGTAAACAAAACAAAGACAACAATATGAAATGTAGCAGAACATTGATAATTGGTAATTTCAGCAACACAACGGTATAAAAATACATGATCCTTTAGTCCTTCTCTCGGGCATATCTTGGGTTTTCTTAAATCCAGATAATAGCTCTGTTTAAAAATCAGTCAGGTTTAGGACCATTTCATTCAGAATTAGGACGTTATTCCGAATATTTTTGGGTTCTCTTTCCTAAGGTTTGAGTTGTCGTAGATTAGACAATTTTCAGGACCATTACATCCTTCTCTCCAATGGTTGCAATTAGAATCAAACGTTCTTCCCATGGCAACCGGACCCGGGATAGTTCCTAGATAAAAATCAATATTTCCAACCAAACTAAGGCTTAAACGTAGAAAAGAATTTGTACTACTACGGGGTATCTGACAAAATGCAAAGATCCAGATCCCGAAGTTTTCACTACAACAATATGGAAGAAATGGAAGAAAGGTCAGCTGTTAAAACTACAGTATTAGAGGAATTAAGATCGGAACTTCAAAGACTACCGAATTACAAGGCTATTATCTAATATTATGGTTAAGAAGAAAGTTGTGTTTGAAGACATAACAAAATGTTGATAAATCTAAAAAAAAGTGTTTCGATCTTTCATCAGATTCACAAAAATTATGGAGAAGTGATTTTTGGAAAATATGGAGTGAAGTTACGAATTTGTATAAAGATTAATATTTATCATTTAATACCTAGAAGTCTAATGAAGAGCCACTGCACCCCAAGAGCTAATGATCTGACCGATGGATCAACGCAACGCAGCGTGGCGGTCAACGAGGGCATATTTGCCAAGAATGTGATGAGCATTGTAAAGAAGAATGATGTTAGGAATATAGGAAGGTAGGTACAGTTGGACGGACAGAGTCCAGGTACTCCTTCAACCTCACTCAGGGATACAGGTTCCCATGTATTGGTCTGCTCTATGGGTAGGGTTAGCACTGAGCAGGAGCAGTTTACGTATCCTCCTGTAGCAGGGTTTATATCTGTACACCCGGCCCAACAAGGATTATAATATTGTTCTCCGTTGAGACAGAGAGGATTAAAGTTATAGAGCTCACATTCACAATCCTGGGCACACCCTTCTACATCTCCGGGTTGGGTTCCGTGTATCTTCATCTCCACCGAGCAGCCAGCTAGCAGACCAATTGCTGCTAGGATAGCGAAGAACTGTGTGATGCTGGTCAGCTTTAGTAATCCAGGAACCTGGCAGGAAGAGAGAAGTTTAGAAATTAAAGTTTTTATTTTGTAAGTTTTATGGTTCTCTAGATATGAGACTTATTCAAAACCCAGACCCAGTCCCTTATCTCCAAGCCAAACCAAGTGAATATTGATTTTTTTTTATCAAATATTTATTATTTTTTCGTAAAGAACCTTGTCCAACTTTCTGGAACTATTTTTAATGGAAAACTAAAATCCATGTAAAAAATTCCTTTGTTTGGTAAAATCTTGATATTTCAAACTTATATTGTTTGATATAAAAGAAGTCATAGTTTGAAATATCTAAGGGAATATTTTCATATAAAGAATTAGTGACTTTCGTTAATAATTAATTGTCATTCTTTTCAGAAGTTTTAATATATAAAAACGTCTTAGGACTCCTTGACGGTTTAACCTACAGATCCTTAAATAGATCGTAAGAATCTTTTCATTATAAAAATTCATAAATCATTGTAATAATTTATATGTTATTATCCATTTCATTTTTTAGGAAATAAAGAGTTTCTCTGCATTATCGGTTTTGATTTAAGGGTTATCCCGCTGTCTATCTGTTCATTATTGAGAACCTTGTTGACAACAAAAGTATAATAATTTACCTGAAACTAGATGCCCTGGAAGGAAGCCTGGATGTGCAGACCTGGAAATTATTAAACTTGTAAAAATTACAATAAATCGAATTTTACTATAAAACAAACAAAACCTTAATCTTAAAATATTATTTTCAATATTCAATATGACAGAAAATGCATACGTAAAACTTTATTTTCAAGTCATAGAATAAAGCAAATAGATTCTAGACAATAGATGGCAACGTAGAATTTGTACACTCTCAGTACAGCTGTATTCTTACGTCACAAGTGTCAAACCATTTTTTGTGTCCAACTATAGATAATAGTGATAATTTTAGAATGAAGGTATTATCTTACAGTAAGATAAGTGCAATTTTATGTGTTCTTTAGTTTTTGTTTTTACAGTTTTTTAATTAATCTTTGAAAACATGTCAACTAATGTGAGAAAATTTCGTTTTCCTTGTATATTTGACAGTTGTGACGTCGTGTATAATTGATCCATTTCTCTGTTGCCACCTATTGTATTTGATAATCTATTTTGTATTAAGATTTTAAAAAGAGTTTTCATTAAAAAACAAATGCATGATAAAAATACAGTGTTACCCACAAAGGAAGGAACTTTATGGACGACCTGAAATTTTGCAAATATTGAGGCTGAATATAGTCGGCTGCCATTAAGGCTAAATATAGTCGGCTGCCATTAAGGCTAAATATAGTCGGCTGCCATTAAGGCTAAATATAGTCGGCTGCCATTAAGGCTGAATATAGTCGGCCGCTATTAAGGCTAAATATAGTCGGCTGCCGTTAAGGCTGAATATAGTCGGCTGCCATTAAGGCTAAATATAGTCGGCTGCCGAAATGGCTGAATATAGTCGGCTGCCATTAAGGCTGAATATAGTCGGCTGCCTTGAATAAAGTGTAAAACTGCGGGAAAATATTATTGTCACTGAAGTCTTATTATTTGTGAGTAACTCAATATAAAACCCCATGGAGAATATTGAGGAACTGTAACCTGGTCTCCAGGTGGGTCCTGAACCCCTGGTAGGGAGGAGGGAAGCATGAAGATTGAGAAGGCAAGGATGATTGAGAATATTCCACAGATTAGAAATCCAAGCCACCAGGCGCCAACCCAATCCGACTCACGGGCCCATTCCTCCATTTGGACACTGACAAAAAGGTTCTCCTTAAGTGCAAACTTTTTCACAATCATCCCGCCGAGTAAAGTTCCCCCGCCGCCTGCCACAACACTGATAACTCCAACATTAATCGCCGCCTGGGACTCGGAGAGACTAAACGTATTCTGTAGCAGTTTAGGAAGAAAGGTTGCTAGTCCTTGCATGAGAAACCCTTCACTAGCTCCGGCCAGACTGATGGCAACAAAGGTTGGGTTTGTGAACAGTATACAAAGAGCTGCGATCAACTCCTTCCCAACAGGAAGAGCTCCGCCTCCTGCTCTCAGGTCGAAATCATCATGGAGCTTAACAGATTTAGCCTTGAAACTAGATCTGAAATAATATAAACTTTAGTTTAGATATTTATCAGCTTCACCGCACCATTAAACGATCGATTGAAAATGAAGTCAAATATCGGAAAAATATTGTTTTCAATAGAATAGTAATGTCATTGTTAAAGAAGGTAAAACCAAGAATAAAAGTAAATATTCTGGGGAAAATATAAAAAAGAAACAACGAGAAAGCATTATAGTTAATGTGCTTAGTGTCTGGTGTTAATAGTTAATTAGAATAAGAAAAACAAGACAAACTTTAAGAGTCAACAAACTGCAGTACTGCGACAACATTGGGGGATTCTCTTCATATTTATACAAAATGGTTTCTCATGAAATTAAGAATTTAGGAAATGGAAGAGGAAAGAGCAGATACAAAAGGTTAATTATCTTAGAAATAGGAAGGTTTTTAGAGAAGGGTTGGAAGAATAAAATAAAATAAAATTAGAGAATTCGAAATTTAGGGTCAGGTTTTCTGGAATAAAGGAATTAAGTCTTTGCCACAAATCCCAATTTTCTAATACCTATATTTCTACAACCAAATGATGTAAACCTCTGATATTTCAAACTTATATTGTTTGATATAAAAGAAGTCATAGTTTGAAATATCTAAGGGAATATTTTCATATAAAGAATTAGTGACTTTCGTTAATAATTAATTGTCATTCTTTTCAGAAGTTTTAATATATAAAAACGTCTTAGGACTCCTTGACGGTTTAACCTACAGATCCTTAAATAGATCGTAAGAATCTTTTCATTATAAAAATTCATAAATCATTGTAATAATTTATATGTTATTATCCATTTCATTTTTTAGGAAATAAAGAGTTTCTCTGCATTATCGGTTTTGATTTAAGGGTTATCCCGCTGTCTATCTGTTCATTATTGAGAACCTTGTTGACAACAAAAGTATAATAATTTACCTGAAACTAGATGCCCTGGAAGGAAGCCTGGATGTGCAGACCTGGAAATTATTAAACTTGTAAAAATTACAATAAATCGAATTTTACTATAAAACAAACAAAACCTTAATCTTAAAATATTATTTTCAATATTCAATATGACAGAAAATGCATACGTAAAACTTTATTTTCAAGTCATAGAATAAAGCAAATAGATTCTAGACAATAGATGGCAACGTAGAATTTGTACACTCTCAGTAAAGCTGTATTCTTACGTCACAAGTGTCAAACCATTTTTNTTGTGATATATATATATATATATATATTATATGGACAATATTTAGTTTTGCATTATTTTTCTCACCTAGCGAAGTCAGTATGGATATTCAGCAACTGTCCCCCAATACCGTATCCTATCGCCGGTCCAACGATTGCCATTGTATAGAATACTCCGAGATAAAAAGCTGAGTTTCCAGTTCCAACATTCTCATCTATATATGTAACTCCGAGGGTGTAGAGAGGAGCAGCTCCTGCTCCATGGAGCAGCTGAGCTCCCATGAATATAAACTTGAACTTGTTGTCTCCACTCTGAAAATATAATGGTTGCTCACAGATTATATAAGAAAATTGTCAAAATTATGTCTGGAGTTAGGACTTTTTAGGGCGTCTTCATGACTAACACATAAAATAGAAAAAGGCAATCATTTGAAAAGGGACTTTGGCAAGCTCACATGGTTCATTGATATATGTTTTCTCAGATGTCCGAACCTGTAGGCTTCAGCAATTTTAGTTTCAAAGTTTTTATATTTGTATAGACTATAGAGGGATTAAAAAACAGTTCATTAGAAACAACAAAGCGGCCAGACTGATGGCAACAAAGGTTGGGTTTGTTATTACCAATCAAGAGCGAATAGGCAGTTCAGTTTACCCTGAAATTACCCAAATAAGTGAACGGTCCCTTTAAGAATTGAAAATATAAAGTGTTGGCCTTGAAGAGATAAATGCAGAGAGTAGTGCAGTGTTGAATATTTATAATTCTACAGGTTTTCTTTAGAATACATAGGCATACAACCTCAATAGTCAACAATATATTATTTATATTAACAACAACAAAGGGGATTAAGTTCTTTTAAAAACAAAAAATATCCTTAGTGTTCAGGAACAGATCGCAATAATAGAATCAAAGGAATTAAGTCTTTGCAACAAATTCAAATTTTAGAACATCTTTGCAACTTTCAAACTTAGAAATTATTTGATCTAATAGAATTCATAGTTTGAAATATCTCAGGTCTATGACATTGCGTTGCAAAGGAATTGAGTCTTTGTCACAAACTCTAACTTTCAAATCCCTTTATCTTTATAACTCAATGTTACATAAGACCTTAAATATTCCCAACTATAAATTTTGTTAGATTAAATAATTCAAACTTGAAATATCTGAGGTTTACACCATTAGGTCGCAAAGATATAGAGATTAGAAAATTTGAGTTTGTGGCAAAAACTTTATTCGTGTAAGGATTAGAAAATCGAAGATTGTGGCAAAAACTAGATTTTTTGGTAAATATTGACCATAAAAATTAAATCAACTCATGCTTTTTGGGCCTTGCTGCCCTATCTTGACAATTCCTGCATTATTCAAGAGTCAGGTATTTAGCAGCAGTATAATATAAACAATTCCATCCCTAGTCCCATCAAGAGTATCCCGCCTCCAATCCAGGCAGGTTTACTTCCGGTTCCTCGGCCTGTACAAACCAAAATATCCGGATTCAGTCTTTTCTAAAGGAACTGTTTAAGAATTTATAGAAGAGGGACTACTTTTAATTAAATCAATACTATTATTTTTTTAAATAATAATAAAAAAGCAGCGGCCCGGTTCATATCTTAAAAACCTCTTAAGTGAACATATAATATCAGCATTAAAAATATTAGTTTTTTTAACCCGTTTTTTTAAAAGGAGACAAAGGTTAAGTATTAAGTATATCTTAAAAAGTAAAATTTTAACAAAATGTTAATTATTTGCTCCACGCACCTCATACAAGACAATACTGGCACAAAATAAGTTATACGGACATACACAAAGGTTAGAGGGGGGGGGGGCGACGATGAACTAGCCCCCAACTCTACCGAACATCATTTCACCTCCTTGAAAGTGAGAAACTTTAAAACTTGGTTTTGGTTTACCCCCTCCTGTTTAAATATATCTCTTTTAGTGTATATGTTCATGAAACGAAACCATTTTGTTGCACTAGAATTGAGGCGTGCAAAATCTGTGCAAAAAACTAACCGCAAAATTAGAAAGTCTTGAATTTTACAGTTCAGCGTAAAAATTGTTTAAAGGTTTTGCAATTTAGTGCAAATATAGAGCTTCAAAGTAATTTTCCATTAAATCATTACCATAAAGGATTCTCAACGATACCAATTAATCGTTTAAATGAAAACATACATCAAATAATGCTTATCTAAAACTTGATCTGTTGATTTCTACAACAAAAGTTGAAAAAATAAATCCCAAATTTGATATTTTACAAGAGATAAGAGTCCGAAAGATGTCGTTGAGAACAGTTTTGGCACATATTTAAAAAAAGGTTTCATTATTTATACGTTTTCAATCCCGTTAATCTAAACTTTTGTTCCAATAAGGTAAAAGTGAGGATGAGTTCCAGGTTTGGTTTATTTCCTCCAAGATATGAGACCGGGAGAAGACAGATGAAGGACGCAATATCGTAGCTGCTGGCGATAAAACCACTCTCTGTTGATCGGATCCCAAACCTGAAGAAGAAAAATCAAAGTTAGTAAGACAAATTTAACTATATTGTTATTGCAAAATGTGGTTTTATATTTTCTAAAATCTTTATCTTACATTGAATATTCAAGACATATCTCCGAAATATTGAATATTCAAGACAGATCTCCGAAATATTAGATATTCAAGACATATCTCCGAAATATTGAATATTCAAGAAAGATCTTAGATATATTGAATATTCAAGACATATCTCCGAAATATTGAATATTCAAGACATATCTCCGAAATATTGAATATTCAAGACATATCTCCAAAAAATTGAATATTCAAGACATATCTCCGAAATATTGAATAATCAAGACAGATCTCCGAAATATTGAATATTCAAGACAGATCTCCAAAATATGAATAATTAAGACAGATCTCCAAAATATGAATAATAAAGACAGATCTCCAAAAAATTGATTATCCAAGAAAGATCTCCGAAATATTGAAGATTCAAGAAAGATCTAAGAAATATTGAATATTCAAGAAATATCTCCGAAATATTGAATATTTTATATTTTTAAACCATATAATTTAATTTTCACCCTAAATCCCCATTGTTTCTAAAAAAAAATTTGATATTACAATCTCCCCTTTCCTAGTTGCGCCTTTGGGCAAGTTTAGTTACCTATAATTTAATTATTAACCATATCAGGGCAGGGCTTTTTTGTCTAATATATGCTGGGGCGCCCCCTCCCCCCTCCTATGATTTTGCCCTTAGAGTTGAGATAGGAGAATGTGATAAATGTCTCTAGTCCAACTTTTCAAGGCCTGCTCAATAAAAAAAATTAGACCTGTAACTGTAATGGTTAGGGTGCAAAGGAGGACTTAAAAAAGTTCAAAAAGTACGTCGGAAAAATGTAAAGAAATAATTACTTTTAGTTTTGACAAATATTACATGTGACACATGTTAGTACATCCATTTTTCAAGGGTCTTTTAAATATATAAGCTTAATTAATAAAAAAGTTATTCAGCACTTTTGATTTTTTGAAACACCGACCCGTCCGACTGTCATCAAGCCTACTCTTTGCATTAAAAGAATAGCAATATTTGTTCACAACTTTGATGTTGAAAAAGTGAATAAGTTTAAGCGTTCTAATGTCAGCCATTTTTAAGGTATTTAGAAAAACACAGGGGGTGGGTGGAAAACACCACCCCCACACAGCTTAAAATTTGGAAGGGTACCCCGCGTGGGTCTTATAAGCTTAAAACCATTTTTTTAGCCGTGAATCCTAAAATCATAATTTAATAACAAGCGCTGATAAACGGCGGAAGTAATAATGACTATGAATAATAATATAAACCTGGGCCCTATAGTAACTTAAAAATGCATCCCAAAATACCTGTCAATGGAAAGCGACTTTTCAAGGCATATAAACATGAAAAAAATAAAGTCTCATAAGTCGTCTTCCTTTCAAATATTCACTTACTTCACTCACAACATAATAAATAGACAACAACCGGGTCAAATTAAATTCTTCATAAATATGCATGACGCAATCTTGACAGAAGAAAAACTACATTTTATGCAGAATTACTGGTTTGATTTTACGACCTTATAACTCCTTTCAATTATACATCGAAGACATATATGAGAAATAAAATTGTTTGGGTGCCAAAGATCGGTTTTTACATTTAATCTTTTCAATAACTTTTAGAAGAAAAGTATGTTCTCGAAAAGGAACAAGTTTTAACTAAAATTAAATTTGAAAAAAAAATAAAAAAATTCAATTATCGTGATAATAAATGCTATTTCATCGATCAACGTAAGAGAAAAGAACCGTTATTGACCAACCACTAAACAGAAGAGAAGGTCAAATTTACGACTTTGTAAAATCCTAGCTTCTTAAGTTTTGACGTACACACAAGTATCAGAACAACAGACTTTTTTATTGCAATTAAACATGAAAAATTTTAATCTAAAATAAAACTTACTTTAATTTGACGTGGTTTCATGGATTCGATATTTTGGATGAAATGTTTAGGACCTGTATAACTGTCTAAAATGAATTCATGCTGTTCCGACCAAATTTGAAGAAAATAAACAAATCTGTCCAATATAGTTTAAGCAGAGTTTAACATTTTTCAAAACTAGAATATCGTAGAAAATGGAGAAATACTAGGAGTCAAACAAAACAATGTTCTTCCTATAGGACTTTCTTCCATCAATCAATCAACATTAACAACATGGTTTTCAATCAATGACGATGAAAAGAGAAGGACACTTTCCAGCATGAAAATCAATATATTCTCATTCATTTTTATATTTTTTCATATTAAAAAAATACAATGATAAAGAGATTTAAGTTGAATAAATAATTGATAAATGAAAGAACTAGTTTTTGGATATTCATATATTTAGAATTACTAAATAAATATATTTGTTTCATATATGCAAATACTTCTCTGGCCCTAACTTTACTTTAAATAAAAAAGATGAAATAAATCCTTATTTCTAATAAACTTATAGCTTATGTACGATTTTTTAAAAGGCCTCATACTATGTTCTTCTAGTGTTCTGTTCAAAATTTAAGATAATAGACTTTTAAATCAGTTTCTATTAATAATTGTATTGAATTTTAATTCAACGGCTGCCATTTTTTATATTATTATAAAAACATAACGATGAAGCTTTCGCAGATTTCTTCGTTTTTAATGGTAGATTTCTCAAAAATATAAAACTCGAAATAATTTGTATGCAACATTTTTTAGTTCTGAACGGTCATTATTACCCTTCCCTTTGGTCGTTTCCACCAAAAATGTGGGACTAATCGGCTCAGCCGTTTTGACGTTTATTGGATACAAACAAACCAAAAGATAAATCATAATAAATAGTTTTTAGAAGGTGAAACCGATTTTTAAGTTTATCTCTGTTTGGTTATAAAGCATGATAAAAATAATGAAAACCAAAACTCCCAAATCAATGTTTACAAAAATGTGTACTGCAGTTTCTTTAAGGGATATCAACAAAATTCGAGATTGTTTACGTTTCTACCAGAAACTGCAGTTCACTTTATTTTTGTAAACAAAGCTTTGATGGTTCCTGATGTATCTTCCCTCCCCTGCAGCAGGAGGATAACCTACCGTTTCTCTAGACTACTGATCACAACGTTGATCAGACCGTTGACGAGGATACCCTGCACTGCTCCTGCTAGACAGAGAAGGGTAACGATCAACACGATCATCCGCCGCCTTGATTTTATCTCCGCCCTTTCCGCCTTCATCAGGGATCGATCCCTCTCCTCAATCCCTGCATTTCTCACGGTTGGATTCACATGTAAAGGGTTTTGCTCCAGATCTGGATTACTCACACAGGATTCGCACGCTTTTAAATCTTTTGCATGTTCACTGTTTGAGTTTCCATCTAAATGTTCGAGTTCGATTTCCCGGTAGGAGATGGGACGGTCGGAATCATAAGGGTTGGATGAATCAACTTGGGTCACCTCTGTATTAATACTAGCGGAGCTGGTTCGGAGGGAAGATTGGATTTCAACCCCGCAGGGTTCTCTTTTATCCATAATATCCAGGGCATGTGAGTTCCTTCGTCCCGATTCCTCTGAACTGAAACCTTCGTACAGTGTGACAGCTGCTCTCTCTCTCTCTCTCTCTCTCTCTCTGCAGCTCCTTTCCTTTCCTATCCCTACACACACAGGACTAAGGATGAGTAAACTGAAAAATGTCCTTGTACTTTTAAACTTAATCAGCCGATAATCGATTGATTTTGTCCTAAACCACCAATTGTTCGATTTAATCATCAATCGATATCGCTTTGTTGTTTCTTTATTAAAAAATTAGAATACCAACGTAAAAAAAATAAAAGAATAAAAGAATTTCCATCCAAATGAAAAATAAGCTTTCGTATGAAATGGTTAAAATGTAAAAATGTTTATATTATATAAGTGTTGTGTTATGTAAGGGTTGGTATGTTTATCAATGAATGGAGATCCTGCACTGCAGTACTGTTCCCCTGCAGTATACACTGCGCATGTTCTAACTCTAATATTCTCTTGTCAGGAGAAGATAAAAGGAAGGTTTCAATAGAATATTTATCTATTGATGAATAAAACATTTCTTTGGCTGAATATTGGAAAATATTGTCCGGCCAACTTTTCATTGCTATATAAGTTTCTTAAACTTAGGGGGGCTGATTTCTCGCCTAAAACTTAATATTTTTTCAATTCTTATCATTACAACCTACAGAAATTTAAAACAATCAATTCTGTTTGATCAAATAGTCAAAGTTTGAAATATCAGAGGTTTACATCATCTGGTTCTAAAGATATGGTGATAAGAAAACCCTAGTTTAATGTGAGGAATCGGTTTCTTTTTTAGACATATTAAAATTATTACCAAAAAAAAACTATCGGATTCGGTCAACCCTGCTCTGAATAAAGACTCATTATCTCTCGGGGATGAAAATCATCAGCCAACCTGCAAAATAAACCTTTTCAAAGCCAAGATAGATCCAGAACGGGCTTAAAAAGACAATAATCTGTATAAAGGTAATCAATATAACCCATAAATCGGACTTTTTACCGCCCTGTACCCTACCGTATGCATTGAAACAAAAATTTATATTTCAATAAATCCTTAATATTTTTATTCCTTAAAAACCACAAAATTTCATGGTGATCGTCTCGAAAATGAGAGTGCTCGGAAAAAAAACCTAGAAGGGGGTTTAATGGTTAACGAATCAGTACAAGCTTTCTATTCTCTCAATCTCTTTAGTTTTGTTTCTCCTTCTATTGTTTAAATCTGTCAAAGTGTATTTTTTTTCAATATTTATAAAATCTGTTTTACTTCTTAGTTCATCCCAGTTACGTTTCTCCTTCTATCCTCGTAATCCATGGCTTTGCTTCTCCTCATATTCTCTCATATCCTTCTCCTCGAACCATTTTAATCCGTCTTAGTTTCCCTTCTTCATATCTTCTCTTTATACGTTCTAACTTTGTTTCCCTACAATTCTCTGAATCCATTCTATTTTGTTCTCCTTCTATTATTTTAATCCGTCCTAGTTTCTTTTCTCCTTCTATTATTTTAATCCGTCCTAGTTTCTTTTCTCCTTCTATTATTTTAATCCGTCCTAGTTTCTTTTCTCCTTCTATTATTTTAATCCGTCCTAGTTTCTTTTCTCATTCATTTCACTTGATCTGTGTTGTTTTATTTCTCCTTCTAATCTCTCCTTTTGAAAATTAAGATTTAGATAAAATTTCAACAAAGGTTTTGATATTGTCCAACGAGGGGACGAAGGTCAACCACATCAATCTCTAGTCCGAACCACATTCTCCTCATTTTCTCGAAATCCTCGTCCTTTCAATATTTTTTTTTTTAAAGTGTCTAATCTTCCATATAAAACTATTTTTTAAGAATCAAGCCACGTTAGGGCATAAATGAAATATCAAATTTTTGTAAATCAAAGTAAAAAGTTTCAATTGAATTAAAGATTTCAAGTTTAATGTCCTTAAAAATGTACACATTTTTTACGCGCATTTTCAGATATTCCTGGTGTAGAATGCCGCAAATAATTCCAGGTTTAAAGAACTTTAATCGTTTTTGTTAACTATAGTGAAAACCATAGAATTTTTCCGGGTGGTTCCATGGGGAAAATTATAGGCAGAGGTATGCCGAATAATTCTCTATTTATTTTATATCACGAAGGTTAGCCATTATGGAGGCAGAAGAGATTTAAGTTTTACTTAAATAATGTTTGACATCATTCTCGTGGATTTGAAGATTCCAACATCTTAAAATCCTTGGAAAACTTTATTCTAGTCATGTTTTATGCCCTAACGTCGCCATATTTTTAAAAAAAGTATTTATTTTCAAGGATCGGACACTCAAAAAAAATAATATTGAAAGGACGAGGATTTCGAGGTGGTTCGGACGAGAAAATGAGGAGAATGTGGTTCGGACTAGAGTATGATGTGGTTGGCCTTCCTCCCCTCGTCCAACCCTAATATATCTTCCTTCTTCAGTTTGAACGATAAAATAACATTCAAATCAATATAAATCATAAACCAGAAATTGAAAACTATATTTATGGAAAAGTTTTTAAAAAAATTCAACTTTGAGATGAGAAAAGGAAAAGAAGAAGCAACGTTTTTTAAACACCTTTGTCTTTGCAACCCAATTACGTAGACCTTTGCTGTTTCAAACTAGGAATTCTTTGATCCTATAGTCTATGTTTGGCATATCAAAGGTCTACACCATCAGGTTGCAAAGATATATTGATTATACAAATTAAGTTTTTGCAAAAATATAGTTCCTTACCTATATAAATTATTTAAATGTATGAAGATCATTTCTTCTTATTAATACTTCGTAAGAAAAAGGCGGCTACAAGGGGGGGGGGCGGTGGTGCCTTGCCCCTCCACCCTTCACAGTTCACAATTTGCGTCAGCGTGTAAATTTAATTTTCCTTAGTTATATTGCTAATCAACATATTTTATTTCATTCTTTGCTTTATTCTTGAAACCTTGTTCCAATATAGATCTTAAACCAGTCTCCTTTCAAAATTTGTATACTAGAGAGAGACAGATTATATATAGAGCAAGATAGACCTAAGTTTTTTAATTTTTTTAAAAATTGAATATAAAGAAAATCTTAACTTTTATAGTATAATTTGAAGGTTGTGATTACAGATAAATAAATTGCTCCAAATTTTTTAGTCCTAAAAAACAAACATTATCTTCATCATAATTAATAAAATAAAAACTTACGGTTACAAGGGTGTCATTGTAAAGCGGCCAAGATCCTCTTTTTAAATTACTTGAAGTTAAGCAGCAAAAATTTATTTGATTATCACCCAGAATTTATTGTCATCATTATCGGTATTATTATTAATATTCATAGCAAAGAAAAGTGACTTGCGCACCTTTTCCTTCAAGAAAAATTTAAAAAAGTCACAAAGTCCAAAAATCCCAGGAACACAGGACTGAAACACATAGTCTGCTTTTTTAAGGTGGTTTAAGTCAGTGAGAGTGTCGCAGTTTAAAATAAAATTGGACTAAAATTTTTTTGAAAAATTCTAGAAAATTTAAAGTCACAAGTCACAAAGTCGCAAAAACACAGATCTGAAACGTATGGTCTGGATTTTTTCAATGTGGTTTCAGTGTGCGACTCTGGGAGTCGCAAAGTCACAGTTTAAAATACAATTGGATTGAAAAAAAATTGAAAAATTTTTGAAAATTAAAAAAGTCACAAAGTTAAAAAGTCGCAGAAACACACATCTTAAACACATAGTCTGGATTTTTTTTCAAGGTGGTTTCAGTCTGCGAGTGCAAGTCGCAGAGACACAAAGCCAACCTCTAATTCTGTCGGTAATAGTTTGAATCAAAGTTTGGTTTACACCGGACAATGTCCATGAAGTTTAACAATGTCCGGCCTATAATTGAGAGTAATTGGTGTATAGTAAAAAAGAAAGTTGCAAGGAAGTAGTGTAATAATCTCTGTCAACTGAAGCACAATGAGGCGGGAAAATTTAACTGAAATCTAAATAAAAAGTATTGGTTTACCTTCACAGTTGTATTTTTTAGTTTTATATTATTATGTAAATTGCATTGTAGACAAAATATTGCACTGTTATCCAAAATCACACCACTAGAAAAGAACTACTTTTATCATTATTTTAATTGCAAAGCAATTTTTTAATTTCTAATTTAATTCCTTGGTTGGTGTTATAAATCATATTGTATTGTAGAGAAAATATTGCACTTTAGTCTAAAATCACACCACTAGACTCGATGAAAACTACTTTATTCCATCATTTTAATTGTAAAGCAACAGTTTTAAATAATATTTAGATCAGAGGTTAGAATAGTTAGATGAAACTCAAATAGATTCTAATACAATAAATGGCAACGTAGAATTTGTACACTCTCAGTACAGTTATATTCTGTCGTCACAAGTGTCAATTCAGTTTTTGTGTCCGACAAAATTATCAATAATAGAGATAATTTTAGAATAAAGTGCTTTCCTTACAGTAAAATAAGTGCAATTTTATGTGTTCTTTAGTTTCTGTTTTTACACTTTTTTATTTAATCTTGGAAAACATGTCAACTAATGTGAGACAATTTCGTTTTCCTTGTTATATTTGACACTTGTGACGTCGTGTATAATTGGTCCATTTCTCTGTTGCCACCTATTGTATTTGATAATCTGTTTGGATGAAACTAGAATAGGTTCAGGATGGGTATGGTTAGAATAGTTAGATGGATGAAGGATGGGTTCAGGATGGGTATGGTTAGAAAAGTTAGATGGAGCTAGGATGAGTTCAAGTTGGGTAGGTTACAATATTTAGATGGAGCAAGGATGGATTCAAGTTGGGTAGGTTACAATAGTTAGATGGAGCAAGGATGGATTCAAGTTGGGTAGGTTACAATAGTTAGATGAATCTAGGATGGATTCAGGTTGGGTAGGTTAGAATAGATAGATGGGGCTAGGATGGGTTAAGGTTGGACTGGTTAGAATAGTTAGATGGAGCTAGGATGGATTCAGGTTGGGTAGGTTAGAATAGTTAGATGGATCTAGGATGGGTTCAAGTTGGGTAGGTTAGAATAGTTAGATGGAGCTAGGATGGGTTCAAGTTGGGTAG